AACGTGGAACCTGACAGGGGTCCCTTTGCAAAGAGAATAATGGGTGGGAGGGCATCTCCAAATTGACCCGGCAGCCAATTCCTTGTGTTTTCAAGGATCTATCAGGAGAGTAAAACCTTGTGTGACAGTCCCGATCCTATGCCTGTCCAACGCTTTGTTTTTGTTTGTTGCTTCGGGTTGGCCCAACTGACCTCCAAACACTTAGCTTGATTTTCATGGGAACCCTAACGGGATCCAAAGGAGGATAAACGGGTAGGGAGCCTCTTCCGGATGTCTTAGGGTTCCTTGAGACGGAAGGGTTCGTAGCAGCCTTGTTGTTCTTCCCCCCCCCCCCCGAGAAGCAACTGCATAATGGCTCCTTTCCCGCGATCACGCGACAAGTTCGAACCCCTGCGCTCTGCGACTCGTCCAGGTCACTCTTACAAACATATCCATGGAGGGTTCATTCATCGACTTATGGCAAAACACGTCGCCAAGCAAGTACCTCAGGATCCCCAGGCTCATTTACAACCTGGAGCAGAATTCACCCATGCAAATGGATTTTTTTGGAAGCCTGCCACTCGTACCCAGCTCAAATCTCGGCTGCATAGGTTGTATGCCTCTGTGAATGTAATTCTGTGTGCATCGTTTTCCATCGCGGCTGAGGGCGCGGAAGCACTTCGCTTCCCATTTGGATTCAACGGACCTTGTCCGGCCTGCCTAAACCAGGCGTTTGTGATGACCTGGCACCCGGATCTAAGGAACCTGGCGGATGTTGCTCCGGAAAATGAGTCTGTCTTTGTTTACCCTTTTTGAGGTTGGTTTTAAAGGGAACCCAAAAGGAAACCACCTGTTTTTAGGGGCTCCCCAATTTTGAGACAAGCCCGCATTCATGAGTGCTGAGATCACTCTTACTTGATGCGAAGTGTTCTCTCGCTAGGAAATCGGTTCATTGGATGACCGGCCCAGGCGTTTGGAGGGACAGAGGGACTGTACAGGCTCGGCAAAAAAGCGGAGCCGAAAAGTCACAGATTGAGCGAAGCGACGAGCCCTCGACATTGTCTCGGGCGAGCGAACATGGGGCAACTGGATGCGAGTCAGGTGGTCCAAGTTGAAACCACCAGGGAGTGAGTGTGTGTGCGTGTGTGTGCGGTGTTGTTTCATGTATTCATACATGTGTATATATGTATATATTTATGTGTAGTACCCTTGATGGGTGATTTTGAAGGGGAAGAACAGGACACCCACCAATTTTCCGGGCCCACATTTTCCAACACTCCTGCCAGTTTCCCGGCACAGCACCTGGAAGTCCATTTCTTCTTAGGACCTTCAGCTGGATTTCATGGCGTTGAAAGAGTGGTTAAAGGGTGGTTCCCTCGGTCACCGTACTTCTAACTGGAATCATGGGGAGGGATCTGGTTGGCAAGGCCCTCAAGAGAAAACAAACAAGGCCTGACAAGTTGCATTTGTTCGGCCCCCTCTTTTCCTTGGGTGGCTGACCATAGGAAGGATTCAAAGCTCCGTATTCGTTTACCCCTCAAAACCTGCTGTTTTGGTTGAGGGGGTTGCCCGAACAAAAGCCCATTGCAGCCGCTGGAGATCTGAGAAACCGGCCAAAAAATGAAAACTGTGCAGTGTGGAGCTTCCTCTAGGACAAACCCAGGTGGTGCTTGAACAAAAGCAAACACGACTCGGCATTCTGCGCCCAAGCTTCGAAAAAACTGTCTGTACCGAGGCCGCAGCCTTGCCCAAGGCTCATTTGCTGAGTTGGGGAGACATATCAACTCCGGCTCAGCAGCAGCAAGTGGCCCAAACCGAATTGGAGGTATTGCATCATTCCCAGCTATGGGGTCTGACAAGCGGGCTCCAGTTTTTGACTCTCCCAAACGAAACCCAGGGGTGGTCTTGGGTTTGAGTCTACCTTGGGGCTAGTCAAAAAGTGGAGCCTGGAACCCGTCGGTTTCCTGGCAAGCGCCATCAGAGCGACAAGGCCAGGGGCAGCGTTTCCCGCCAGTTGCTCCACGAAGGAAGCCGGCTGCCAGTCACCTGGTGGTGTAGGGTGGGTAGAGCAAAGAGCCCTAGGGTTTCTTGGGATTGCCCAGGGTTCCTTAGGGTGGGAAACTAACTGCCCCCCTGTTGGGACACCCACTTTGGCATTCCATGGGCCATCTGAAAATAGGAATTGGCTTGAATTGGCCCTTCTTGAATTTGCTTCTGGTATCTTCCAACTTGGTTTACCCACGCCGGGTTTGTATCACTCAATCAAAGCCCTGAATCCCAACAGGTCGCACCTCCACCTTTCCGAGAAGGTGTCGTGTGTATAAGTCACCAGGCTTTGATGTGGGTGTGCCCTTTAACTATAACACAGGATACCATGTTTCCGCTTGGTTTAGAGGGAAACCAAAAGGCCTCCACATTTATCTTTGCATTTGTTTTCTGGGGGCGGGGCGGGGCTGCCATTTAGAGTCACACCCATGCCTTTTTGCATGCCCTATTGAAGAATAATCCCTGGTCATTTGTTTTGATGGGGAGCCCTTGAACGATGTTCAGTAGACCTTGCAATGCAACAACTATTTGTAGTGCTGTAGTGACTCTAGTGGGCAAAATCATTTGTGCAGAGCACCCATCTAAAATTCATACCACATATCAATGTGGATACAGCAGCGTTCAAGTTGCATCCACGTGACATTGGCGGGACTTTAAATTGCATGGACCTGGACTTGGTGTCTTGTTTTATCGCTTTTCTCAGATCTGCAGCCGCCCAAACCGATTGTCGGTTTACCGACATGTAGGCTTCACTACTTTACTCTAATCCCAAACAAAGCAGGTAGTAGAACCTCCTACTAAAGACACCACTTCATTGTCTTTTCCTTTTTCAGGGGAGGGGTCTGGTTTGTGCCCGACCCGTTTTTAGTTGGGCCCAGTGGCGTGCTGGTTGTAGGACTGCGAGAACACAACATGCTTCCAGGACTGAGGTTTGCTACCGGTGATCTTGGGCTTGTCATCGATCAAGAGGTCCCCCTGGACGGTGGTCTTGTCTCTGGTGATGATCAACCTCGGGAACTTCACTTGCAGTTGGGACGTTGTTTTTGGCCATCTGAAAAACATATCGCAAGCTGCAGCGACTAGGTCATTTCCATATCCATCCTATTGCTCAGAATGTGGTAAGATGTGGTACATCCGAAAATCCTCTTTGGATGTACGCCGAACCATTTTGTGGGTGCAGGCATCGGCCGGTTTTTTTGCTGCCATCCACTTCAGATCGCTGTGCAATCATACGGTCCAGGTATGGAGCTTACCAGCTTTTTTAAGGGCTCGACGGATTGTACCGCGTTACAGCCGAGCCATATGGGTGGTGTATAAGTATAAGCATTGCCTCCCAAACCCATACCCGCAAATGCCGTTGAAACATACATGTGCCCCAGGTATGTGGGTGCAACCAACAAGTGAAAGCTTAAAAGCCAACCAAAGACAGGTGACATTGGGCAACGGGTGATGAGAAAAAGGGCAGACGGGCAACTGTTGGCACGAAACTAAGCTCTGGCAATGGTTTTTTATCTGTCCTGCGATAGAAAGCAGGCTGCGACGGCTGTGAATGGGGAACCCTGTGCAATTCGATTCCTCGCTCCCAGATTGGCCCAGCAAAACAAAAACTATTAATCACCCTCTAAAATGGTCCAAAACCAAATAGTTAAGTCCAGGAACTCGGGAAAGGAGATTCAAAAAAAACAACCAAGGAACACCAAGCGACTCAGAACTCCGGACTCCGGAAATTAGGATCCTGCCATTCTGAGTCAGCTGTTTCTGAGGAATATGCGGGAGTTGATCAAAAAGTCCTTTACCTTTAAAAAAAAAAGAAGAGAGAGAGTACATTTGAACCACTAAATGGGAAAAAGTGTCCCTTGGTCATTTTGTGGGCGAGTATTGATCAACCCCCAGGTCTTTCTGTGGTCTCGGTTTTAGAACCTCAGGTTACAAACGGCCAAACCCCCCCTTCCTTTCAAATCCAATTGCCAATGCGATACATGTTTTGGCTGACCGAAATGTAGCTTGGGGCTCAATTCCAATTGGTTGGAACCTTTGATGGACATTGGGAGTTGTGTCCAATTGTTAGTGGAAAAACCAACCATCCGGAAACAAACGCAAACAAACGATCGGAGCAAAACAGACTGTTGGTTCGTGAACTAACCAAGGGAATCGTCTGGCAATCAACATCTATAGGAAACTCCCGAAACAATGGCAAACGCAAAGGGTTCAACACCTTTATTCAAAACTATGTTTGGCTAAAATTAGATGAGCGAAACTCAGGTAAACAATGATTGTATGAGGCCCCTTGTTTTACTTCGGCTTCCCTGTATTTGTTTCCCAGTCTACAAGAACCAGAGGCTCAAACTCATTCCAAACCACAATTTCATAGCACCAAAGTGTCTGTTGCCCGATTTCAATGACCACGGGCAACTGTTCCAATCTAGTGGGCCAGGTGTTTTTTTCCTGACTGTTTTCCCGAATGATCCCCTGTAAAGGAACTCTTCATCAACTCCTCCTGTCTGTGGATGGTTGCAACAAATCCTTTTCGCACAACCAAAGAAACCCTGTTTTCTGCTTCGATTCCCCTGTAAATACCCTAGCAAACCTCACGGTTTCAACTATGGTCTCATTTCGTGGCGCGAACGGATTTCGCAAACCATCCGCATGGGCGGTTTGAATCCCGGACCATTTCTCCTCGCTTCAAGAGACCTCTCCGTGAAGTCTTTGCCCAAGAGCCTCTCCACCGAAAGATACCTCGCATATCTCGATCGGGTTTTTTGACGTCGGCCGTTTCGCTACTTCGCTTGCGAGTCCCCATCGTTTTTCAGGGTTTCCATCCTTTTGCAGGGGTATCGTTCTTTTGAGAGTCCCCTATCGTTCTGTGCATTTTCACACATCAATGAGACACCGAGTACTAAACTCAACAGAAGTAATTTTGACGGTACTTCACGTAACCACCTGGCTGTTTGTCTTTGAGTGGTAGCGGTTTTGCTGCGGTTTTGGGGGGTTGATTGAAAGGGAAGCCCAAAAGAAGACCACCAGTTTGGGGTCCCATCATTTTGACAGACACACCCACCTGCGTTCTTTTTTGGGAAGCCACTCTAAGCCTGTGAAACAAGGGGGTCCAAACAAAAATCAAGCTTGGGCTCTTGGGCGCCCAGTCGCGTGACCTTTAGGCAGCAAAACGGGGTTTTGGGGTATGAACAATGACTCGGACCGCCGGAAGATCATGGGCTTCATACGGAGTATCACAAAGTGGATTACCTTGGTGTCAGGGACATTCGCCTGAAAAAACCAGGTTCCTTGCAGGATACATCCAAGAACCTGCTCCAAGTTGCCCACAACTACGTCCTGAATACCCCCTTTTTGATTGGTGGCATGTCAAATCTGAAATCTGAAATCCGATCTAAGGAAATCGTGCGGCTTCTGCTTATACCAAACCTGCCTTGGTGGCTATTGCCCCCTGCGCAAAAAAGCACACACGATAAACAACGATGTGTGGCTTAGTGTGAAGATACCATTTGTTGGGTGTTTTCAAAGGATATCCAAACGGAAATTCCATTTCGTGGGGTCCCCCAAAAGATGACACTCCAATAGCAGCCACGCCCTTCTGTACGAAGTCAATTGATTGCTCCCGATTCCACGGAAGTTTCGGTGGCCTCTTTGGGAATGCTTGGTTTTGTTCTTTTGAGGCATGGTTCCTGAGAGTGGACCGCAATGGTTGCACCCCTTGTTGGCATGCAAGTTCTTTGCAGACTCCAAAATAATCCGTTACCCAATCAACCACGATGAGCTTACATTAGGCAAACGTTATATAGACCAAATAGGAACAACAGGACTATATGAGCCTGGTATACATCCGCATTCGGACATTGACAACAGTGCTTCAACATGGCTTAAGCAGATTGAACTGTTCGGTGGGTTTTCTTCAGTCACAACGCGTTCACAAACACATCTGCATTCTATGATTCACATGAAGTCAGGAACTCCCGGCCCCGACAAGCTCGAAATTCATAATGTGTTGATGAGTTGGCAGGTGCGAGAAACGCAAACCGTGGCCAACCGAGAACCAGGAAACAGGACTAACGCAAGCGGCGGAGTGGGGAGACACTGGTTTATCAATATATGGGAGCTGCACAAAATGGTGGACCCCTTCTGGTTGAAGAGTCATCCCCGTTTCAAACCCAACAGATGGGTTAAAAACCCGGAAGTGTACTGGCACGAAACACAAGCCAAACAGAAACAGGACAAGACTAGATTTCCCTCAAAGCCAAGCAACTCATCATTGACAAAACAGGCAAAACACACACACACACACACACACACTTCACTCTTTCCAAATAAGCACAAAGACTTCCATTTGCTGAAGCCTCCCGAAAAAAGGAGAAAAAAAACACATGTCCAGTAGTGATGGATTCCCGTTAACACCAAGGGGAAATCAAACGATTCTTAAGCAAATGCAAGACGGAGAGAGCCCCTACCGCATCGCGAAAGTTGCTTCTCCAGCGCGCAGGTCCCGGCGCAGGTGGGGTGTGGCGCGGTCACCAGTTTCACATCCACTCCTTGGTGGTAAGCGAAAAAAAAAAAAAGACTGGAAACCAGGGATCCATTTTTGGACCAAGATAAACTTAATATCGGCGTTTGTTTTTGTTTAAACAAACAAATATCGAAGAAACATGAAGAATATCGGCTTTTTATTTTTTACAAAAAAATCTCGAAGAAACCCTGGGTTTGAGTCTGCCTTGCTAGCCAAAAAGTGGAACCCAGAAGCAAACTGTCAATAATCCTTTGGCAGATTTGTCCTGAAAAGTATTCCTCACTTGAGTGGATTGGCCAAAAACAGTCACCAAACTTGTTGTGTAGTACTAAAAGCGGTCTTCCCAAAAAGCTTTTCCAAAAAGTTGCCCATACCCCCAGAGGCCATGGGCCAGGGCTCTTTGTTGGGTGATTTCAAAGGGAACCCCCTTCCAGAAAAACTGAAAAAAGGGCGCAACCCACTGGGTCTCTGAAAAACAAAGGGGGGAAAAAGCACCTCGTGTTGTCCCCAACAGCTCAAGGTGTCGTTTCACAGATTCCCAGGGGAGCTATGCACCGAAAAGAAATTCCAGCGACCTGGCAAGGAGATTTCCATTCAAGACACCTTCCTGCACCATGGCCTGCAGCGCCTCTACAGCACCTGACAGGTTTCATTCACTAAGGCGGCTAAGCGGATGCTTGGCGGTTTTTCGAATTCCTCCAGTGAGGTTAGAATAAGGTTTTCTTGGGATGGTCGAATGCGAAATTCATGTTGGGACCGATGTTGCCATGGAGCCACGAGATCAAAACCGATCCCAATTAAAATGGTCAATGCCCAAATCCAGGTTGGTGGAAAGGAAACGGGCGGAGATCCGCACTTATTCTTCTGGAACTTTCATCCACCCAGGTTTTTGTCAGTTCCAGTTGAACCGGAAATCAACTGGAAAATGAACCATCATTTTGGGGGCCTCTGATTCAGCATTCTCTTGACCCACTGTTCTCTTGAGAAATCGCCCGTTTTCCAGGGGCCTAATATTTTGTTTGAAGAGATTTGGATCGCTGAAGAGAATGGGGAAAGAATGTTCGTTTGGTGTCCCTTTCAACATCAACCAAAAGGACTCCGCCCAGTCTTCTGTGTCTCCAAATTGGGGTACCCCCCCTAAAATGGCTTTCCTTTGGTTTCCCTGTCAACACCAATAAACACGGCGTGTCAACTCCAACCAAAACGAGCCATCCGTTTTTGACAGGAACCTCCCACCTGGCAGCGGCTCCAAAGACTCGTAGAGCCCTGGGCTTGCCACAGCTTCCAGCACTAGCGCGGCCTCTTCCTTGGAGAAGTTCTCCTATCTCGCGCGGATAAGATCATTTGGACATGTGTCCATTTTAGGATTGGACCCCCGAAGAAGGCGTCGGTTTTCCTGTTGGTCAGACCAGGAAACGCGGGGAGAAGCCCCGTCCCCGGGAACGGGCAACCTTCGCTCGGCTGCGAAATCTGCCCTGCCAAAAGCTTAACTTTTGGTGGTTTGAAGGTAAACCCATTCGTTGGCGAAAAGTTGAAGCCCTGCCATCCAAGCAAAATTTAAAGTTGGCCCAAACACTTGCAACGCGCTGGCCATCCGTGGGCGTTTCGGAGAACTCCCCGAGTCCTCGATCTCAAAGCTGGCGCGGCTGCGCACGCTCGTCTCTACCTCCGTGGGGTCCTGCGGAAAAAGACGCGCGTCTCAAATGGGAGATGCTCAAAATGGGACGCGGACCCCGTCTGGTTGGTAGTTGAAGGGGAACCAAATGGAAACCCTTGCCATTGTAGGAATCCATTCATGTTGAAAGAAAACAACCCTGAAACATCTGAGTCAAAGCAAAGCGCACTTGCCAAAGCTTCGCAAGCTCGGTCGGCTGGTCATGAAGACTGCCACGGGTAGATAAAAGGCCTATTTACCAAAAACCATGTAAAGAACTAAAGGGGCGGCTGCACCTATCTACCTAAGTCTTGTTTGTGGGTCTGAGAACCTCAAGCAAGCCGCAAAAAAAAGCAAAGGGAGCTACAGGATGCCAAACGAAACCACAAGAACCGCACCACAGGAAACCGTCCCGACAATAACATCCTGTCCCCCCCCCGTGTATTTGGAAAGCGGGGTGTAAACGGCCATTTCGTAGTAACTGTAAAAACAAATGGTTTGGAAGAAGGTTTTACATCTTGAAGCTGTTTTGCGAAAACATGTCTACAAAATGGGCCCCTGAACTCAACGGGACGCGTTTTGTGCTTTACCGTCGGGGCCACGCATGAAATCTAAATGTCATTTTGCAACCCAAAGGGGAATGTGCGCCCTGCCAGAAACCAGCTCCTTTGGATGACAAGTCCTGCCAATGTTCCAAATGGCATGGACACACCCATTTGCAAGGTGAATACATGAAAATAAAACCCTCCGGGCGTATTGTTCTCCCTTCTTTGTTCCGCTGCAAAATACCACATTACCCAGACCTTCTGCCTACAAAACGACACAACAAGGCCCAACTCCTCAACCTGGCTCGCACAAAAAAACATGTCATCTCCCCAGATTGGGTTTGCTGACAAACTGAGGAACTAAATGGCATCTTTGCGCGTTTCTCCGCGTTCTCCTTCTTTGCCAGTTGCGCGTAGCGGCGGATGAACTCCCCATCCCAGTCCACTATGGTGTTGTCCATGTCCTTGGCTTTAGCAGTGGACTGATTCCCAATGGGTAAAGGGTTTCCCGCATAGAAGCCGCAAACAAACACAATCATTTCCCCAAAGCCCAAGGCCTATATTCAAGTGGGTCCTGGAGACATCTGGAATCAAAGGACAGACTCGTGCCTTCTTGGGCTGGCGGGCATTGCTTGGAAGGACCAGCTTGGTGAGTATACACTCTTCTTCATCAAAAAACAACGCGACATGTAGGCCCTCAGGAATGGATACAGCGCTGAGCGGGTGCGCAAACGGGTGTGCTTACCTAAGCGGGTGCGTGCGCTTGAAATTGTATAGCCATCCGTACAATAAAACAGAGCTGAACGGGTGCGGATGCTGTGCGGATGAGTGGGCGCGCTTAGCATTTGGCAGGTGTGGATTTACCCTTGGCGTGGATGCAGTGCCGAGCCATTGCACGGGTTTCATTTTGATACCCAACGAGCACGAAATCCAGCCTGCCACAGAAGATGCACATGCTTGATCTCCAAAGATCGCAGAATACTGCGCTGGCAGCGCAAAACAGGCACTCTCCAACAACGCTTGATGGAATTATTATGCGCCTGTGCAGCCAACATGATTTCATATCTCCAACATACGAAACGTGCTGCGCCTAGCAAGCAAAATGGAACTTGTTGAAACAAGTGTTTACCCCATGTAGGGCCAGCAACAACGGCAGCAGCAGATGCAGCAGCAGCAGCAGCAGCAGCAGCAGCAGCAACAGCAAGCACAAGCACAAGCACAAGCACAAGCACAAGCACAAGAGCAACAACAACAACAACAACAACAACAACAACAACAACAACAACAACAACAACAACAACAACAACAACAACAACAACAACAACAACAGCAGCAGCAGCAGCAGCAGCAGCAGCAGCAGCAACCACAACCACAACCACAACCACAACCACAACCACAACCACAACCACAACCACAACAACAACAACAGCAGCAGCAGCAGCAGCAACAACAACAACAACAACAACGGCCGGACGTGGCGTTAACGCGTGCCGGCAAACACGGTTCATCCGAAAATGTATGTTTTCGTTGGCAGGGCCAGCAGTATTGAATAATTCATGTTTTGCGTGGTCACGGAAAAGAGCATCCTGCTCAGGAGCACGAACCCCATTTCGTACTGCGCAGGGCAGCACCGACCCACCTGGGCATACCCCGTCCCACCCCCACGGCCAATTTTCAGCAGCAACCCCCACGAGCGCCAGCTTCATCCAAAAATCTGTGTTTTTCTTGGCAGGGCCTGCAGTTTTCAGCTTGGCAATTTTTTTAAGTTGTCAAAGGCGTCCTGTCCAGGAGCACGAACCCTATTTCGTACTGCGCAGGCCAGCATTTTGGCACCCCGGGCATTAGGTACGTTCCAACAGCAACAGAAACAGCAACAATACCTTCAACAAGAACTAACAAACGGCACCGGCCACAGACAGTACAAACAGAACCCACTGCAACAACACTAACAGCCACACACGCAGGCATGCGCTTACCATTTGGACTCAGTTGAACAGGTGTGCTTACCGTTTGGCAGGCGTGTGTGCAGTGCTGCACGGACTCAGTTGAAAGGGTGTGCTTACCATTTGGCAGGCATGAGTGCAGCACGGACTCAGTTGAACGGGTGTGCTTTACCACTTGGCAGGAATCTGTGCAGTGCTGCACGGACTCAGTTGAACGGGTGTGCTTACCATTTGGCAGGCATGTGTGCAGCACGGACTCAGTTGAACGGGTGTGCTTACCATTTGGCCACTCCGACAATGGCCCTTTTCAAAGCGGAAACGTTCATGTCGTTTCAAGGTTCATGTCGTTTCACGTCGTTTCTTCGGGTTTGAGGGTTTAGGGTTTGACGTGTAGGCTTTAGGGTTTCACCTGCGGAAACACGACCCGACTTACGAAACACTGCGCACGTGCAGTGAAATTGCGTGTCTGCTGCTGCAGGTTGCTGAATCTCCCACGCAGGCCACGCGAAAAGCATCCACCCATGGTTGCGAGAACGGGGCGCAGCCTGTTTTGGGGAAACGACGGGCTCGTGCAGTCGAAACAGTGTTTTTGGCTGGGAATTGCTGAATCTCCCACGCAGGCCACGCGAAAAGCATGGCTCAAAAGTGACGAAAACGCGCGTTTTCGTCACGTCCGAGCCAACAACAACAACAACAGCAGCAGCAACAACAGCAACAACAGCAAGAGCAACAACAGCAACAGCAGCAACAGCAACGGCAACAACAACAACAACAACCACAACCACAACCACAACCAACAACCAACAACCAACAACCAACAAGCAACAAGCGACAAACAACAAGCAACAAGCAACAACCAACAACCAACAAACAACAACCAACAACCAACAACCAACAACCAACAACAACAACAACAACAACAACAACAACAACAACAACAACAACAACAACAACAACAACAACAACAACAACAACAACCACAACCACAACCACAACAACAACGACCACAACCAACAACCAACAACCAACAACCAACAACCAGCAACCAACAACCAACAACCAACAACCAATAACCAACAACCAACAACCACAACAACAACAACAACAACAACAACAACAACCACAACCACAACCACAACAACAACAACAACAACAAGAACAAGAAACACAAGAACAACAAGAACAACAAGCAACACGCAACAAGCAACAAGCAAGAAGCAAGAAGCAACAAGCAACAAGCAACACCAACACCAACAACAACAACAACAACAACAACAACAACAACAACAACAACAACAACAACAACAACAACAACAACAACACCAACACCAACACCAACACCAGCACCAACAACAACAACAACAACAACGACGACGACGCCGCCGCCGACGACGACGGCGACCGCGACGACAACAACAACAACCACCACCACCACAACAACAACAACAACCACAACCGCAACCACAACAACAACAACCAGAACAACAACAACAACAACAACAACAACAAAAACCACAACCACTACCAAAACCACAACCACAACAACAACGCCAACGCCAACGCCAACGACGACGACAACGACAACCACAACAACGACAACAACCACGACCACGACCACGACGACAACGACGACCACACCAACAACAACAACAACAACAACAACAACAACAACAAGAACAGCAACAGCAACAACGATGCGGGGGCGTAGTCACGACTCACCGTGGCAATTGTACCGAAAAAGTAGTCGGTGGTGCAGCCTCTTCTCCAACAACAACAACAACAACCGCCCGCATCAACAACAGCAACGCCGCGCATCAACAACTACAACCACCACCACCACAAGAACAGCAGCAACAGCCCGCATCAACAACAGCAACGGCGCGCATCAACAACTACAACCACCACCACAACAACAAGAACAGAAGCAAGAGCCCGGATCAACAACAGCAACAGCGCGCATCAACAACTACAACCAGCACCACATAACAACAAGATCAACAGCAACAGCCCGCATCAACAACAGCAACGCGCATCAACTACAACCACCACCACAGCAACAAGAACAGCAGCAACAGCCCGCACCAACAACAGCAGCTGCGCACATCAACAACTACAACCACGACCACAACAACAAGAACAACAGCACCAGCCCGCATCAACAACAGCAACGGCGCGCATCAACAACAGCAACGGCGCGCATCAACAACCACAACCACCACCACAACAACAAGAATAGCAGCAACAGCCATCATCAACAACAGCAACGGTGCGCTCCAACAACAGCTACAAAAACACTAGCAACACCATACCATTTGGCAAGCACAAATGGCGTAATGCGGCCAGGTGTCCACTAGCACAGTGCGACCCTTGAGCCCAAAGGACATGGCAGACTTCGGCTGAAGGTCTACCTTTCAGGTGAAAAGACAAGCACTATGTATACAATTTATCTACATTCAGAAAGGAAACACCGATTCCAAACAAGTCCGCCTTTGTACGGTAAGCTTTCAATTTGGGTAGCACCTTTCCACCTCCCATGTACTCTTGTACCAAGATCTCTTGTGGGAAACTCTGTAATGCATCTGCCACAGAAAACTGGGAGATTGTTTAACGGGAGCCCAGCCTCGGTAGCAAAAGGGGACCTTTTAGAGCAAAAGGGGACTTTTTGGAACTGACCCCTTTGAGTGGGAACCAACCAAAGGGAAAAAGGGCGCCACCAAACAAGTGGGACTACGGAGCCAAATAGTCGGGGTCTGGGGTATCATCTTTAACCTCGTCTGAATCTAAGATAAGGCTCCATAAGAGACACAGACCAGTCCCCTGGTTCAACCAAAGAAATGTAGCAAGCTAACCGGCATGTGTCTATTACTGCCTTGCTCGCACTGTCAGAGGTCACTTTATTTTCTCGCCCAATCACGCATTCATTTGGGTTTGTCTTTTTGCAGGTTCCCGTTTTCGGTGTGGTTCACAGAGAAACTAAAAGTAAAGCCACCATTTCGGCTGTCCCACTATTTGGACGCTGACCCCAGCAGCGTCTACCGGAAGTCCTGACTGGGGCGGCGGACTTCTTACGAATACCAAAGCCACATCTTGGTGACTTAAAAGACACTAGGTGCTTCAAGGCTAGTCCAGTAGCCACTCATTTTTGTCGGTCCCCTATTTTGACACAGCCCCTCTGCATTTGTTGGACCCCCTTTGTTGTCACATACGCTTAAAATGTACATCGCAAGTCCCCTTTTAGCAAACCAAAGTAAACCATGGAGTACTTGGTTCTCAGACTACTCGCCAGCAGGCTGGCTTGTACAAAAGCAAAGTGGAAAAGTGGACCTGTTTGGACACATGACAATTTATTGGGGAGAGTGTTGGTTGCGATCTGTGGGAAATAAATTCGATCGAGTCTAAATCTGCAAGTTGATGCGTCTTTTGAGAAACTGCCACAACTGTCGATACCGATGTGTCTCAACATCCGAGGGCGAAAGTGCTGGTTTCGTTTTGGCTGCCTGTACAAAAGAACCAAAAGGGGAGGCTCCGCAAAAGACACACCCACATATAACCCCCCAGCAATGCAAGAAAGCGGTGGCTTCTTGTTGGTTTGGGGGAAAACATACGCTTCCAGTTGTTACAATAGGTAACACGAGACTTCCCCTTTAGCTTCCAAATCACCGACTCAAAGTTTGGGAACCCCGAAAACGATTGGCATCTTTTGGGCTTCTCTTTAATCGCAACAATGAAGGCTAAAACAGGGCTTCCCCATCCTCCAGTAGAGAGGGTAGAATACAGAATAAGGGTACCACTTTTTGTAGGTAACCCCGTTCTGTACCAACCATGCGTGACAGAAAAACAAAAACAGCCAGACCCCGGGACACATGCCTATTGCTTGAAACGTTTAAGCAATAACATCTGGTGTGCAGAACAGGGGTCAAATTTCATCTGTCGATGCGTGGAAAATTGGGCTGGGTTCCGTTCCTTGTCACACACACACACGTGCACAGACACAAAACAAAGCAAGTGCACCAACATGCAAACAGAAAGCTGCCAAAAGTGTGAAGAAGCAAACAAGGGCAAACGAGCACTACTTGGGGACCTGGATGTATAACTGGAAGCTCCGGGCCGATTTTTTTTGGAGGCCCGACGGCCTTGTCCAGCAGGTCGCGGTAGCTTTGGCCCATGGCGCTGTAGCTGAATTGCCGCAGCACCCGCTGCCTGCCTGCCACACCTCGAACAAGGCCCCAGCCGAGGCCCCCAAAAAATCCATCGACTCCGGGTACCTGGAATGTTTATGCAGGTCATGCATGTTGAAATAATCCCACAACAAGGTTCTACCAGCACGGTTCGTTCAAATTCTACGAAGCGTCCTATAACCCACCCGCAATACACCAAGTGGCAGAGCTGCTTGCTAGACTGGCGAATAGGAGGCTCAGGCGCCGGGAATTAGACATTGGAACCGCTTGCCATTGGTATCACAGGTTCCCGTCCCAATTTTGACCAACCTCAAGTGGTTGGAAGTCATCCGAAAGGAAGAGCCCTTGAGAGTTTGGCCAGACCCCCTGCAAATGCAGGATGAAGAAGAAGCAAAAAGGCGAAAGGCTGAAAAGGGAAGCTGAGTCTGGCATGATAGGCATTGTGTTGCAGTGGTGGATGAAAGCCAAATGTATGAACCAAATTAGCAAGGCATTGTTCCCGGTTGGCCACTAGTAGAAAAAGCATCAGAATAGGCTGATTCCGTTTCTAGTGGGAATCCAAACAAAAGGAATGCCACTGCACAAATGGGTCACTAGTTTGATTGGCACTTTCAGCAAAAAGGAAATCTTCTCTTTTACACAAACAGGCTCTGACCTCACTTCACAAGTCTAACCTGTTTGGTTGCCACTTAAATGGCCTTGCCAAGAAGTGACTCAAGTCCAGAAACTTGAAAAAGAACTGCCGGGGTGATGGAACCCATTTGTTCCTTTCAGGTGTATCTTTGATGTTTTGGATTGGCGAGGTTCGGGGGCTTTCCACTAGCTTCAAACAAAAGCCAAAACAACAACTCGTCATCCCCCAAAACACCAAGTAAAGGTGACACTTTGTCGTGGGCAGTTCCGTTTGAATTGGGAACAAAGGGACAAAAAGGAACACAACAATCGCGAACTGCGATTGCAAAGCAGTCAAACTTGAAACGTGCGACTGTCATTCACCAACGGAGAGCAAAACACACCCAAATCTGGGAGGCCAACACCAACAAAACCAACAAAAATGCCCAAAGCCTCCCAAACTCGTAAATGAAAAGAATCATGCAGAGCGTTCATGAACCCTTGGCGTCCCGAGAGGATCCTTGACTGCTTGGGTGAGAGGCACCCAACATCTGTCAGTTTGATAAATCTCCGCCTGGCATCTGAATCATGGTTACCTTTCTCCAGTCTCAAATGCAGAGCTGCACGGTTATGCGCTCTGTTCTCTGGATCAGCTCAAAGTCCCCAACACCCCGGGAGCTTGTTGGCGAATGACCGGAGATAGCAACAAGTTGATATGCCCCGATTCCATGTATTGCGGAAACACAAAACAAAAACGCCAAACACATCTTGAGCCAAATTGGCCTGGGCTAAGGACCTGATCACAAAAACCCGTCAGAGATCCTTGCGATGCCGCCTCCCGAGCAGAGAGCCGGCACCGGGGGCAAAAGGCAGGAAGCCTTGAGAATTACACATAAAACATGGGCCCTTTCGGATCAACAGAAAGGGCACCCAAAAAACAATTCTTACAGCTTGGGCCATCGAAAGTTCTAAATCAAACACGGCATCCGCGGGGGGTGTCCCATCAGGAAACCCTTCTTGAGGAATCCAAACATCCCGGATTGATCAACCAGGAAGGGCATATCACATCCCTTTGTGTGTAGCCGCCCCTGGTTCAAACAGCCTCCTCTTGGTTTCACAAAAAAAATGCAACCAATGAACAGCAAGCCGCGCTCGAACCTTTGACTCCGAAGGGCCCATCTGCTTTCGCAGGCTGGGGTCGTTGTACAGCTTCAGGATCGAAGCGCGGATGGCCTGACAACAGCCAACGCATGGCCCCGGAGCTCCAGATACCCGGGGGAAAGAAAAAAACAACTTGAGGACGTATGGTGGTGGCAATGATACCCCTTACCAAAATATGGAAGCTTTGTTTGCCGCCCTGTGGGGGCGCAAACCTATTACCAAAAAGCTAAAGGTAAAAAGTCCAAAGAAATATCATAGGTAGATTTTGAATAGCACGGCTTTCCATGGGAAATACCTGTTTTGAGTATGATCGTCTGACATCACACCCTTGATACCGTGAGTGTTGGCTTGCTCTCAGTACTGTGGTTGTCAACTCAGTGGATTGGATAACATAGCACGTGTAGAAACTTGGGAAGTGAGTAACTTGCGTTACGGGTAGAACAAGAAACCTGTTGAACAAGGCGTTCAAAGATCCTGAAAGTGACCATTTACCCAAGAAGTATGTAAAGATTGGACATCGTTTTTCCGAGATGTGAAACGGGGCAGGTACAAAAAAAAACCTGCAAATCTTGGGTCATGTGCATGCGGGTGTTCGGTCCAACAACCTTTATTCCCGGGGTTCCCTGTAAAACCTTCATGGCCATTTTGCCACTCCCCTCTGCGAGCCGATTGAAACCCGGCGCGAGGTCAAAACCGACCTCACAACATTCGAATCGAAATCGAGGTATCTCCCCAATTTTGCATTGCCATGGAACTTCCACCAAAGGGTTCCCTCAGAGCAAATGGTCCAATGGAACCCTTTCAGGTCCCGTGTGGATGAAGTGCAATACTTCGACCATCAAGAAATTCCACCGACATGTCCGGAGCCTCTACTCGAATGTGCGTGGTTCTAAAGCTTAACCTCATATAGGTTCTATTCACAACTAGATTGGCAACCAAAGAAGCGAACCTTGGTGGCTCAGCCTGTTTGGACGTTTCCGCAAACGGGCCACAAATCTATCGTCCGGGGATCCCGCGACATCCAGTTCCCTGGGTCTATGAAACTTCCCAATCCGCCGAATGATTCGGTACGTGTCAAAAACCCTGGTCGTGTCCCGTCGTGTGTCCCTTTAAGCTAAAAACAAATAAAGAGGTTTTTTCCCCTCAAACAACACACACACATATGCCGATCCAGGAGGTTTAAAGGCACACCAATCCGAAAATCTTCACTTACCCCTTAAAACTCCAAGCCCTGGGGAAGTTAATCTACAAACATATAGCCCATGTTACCCAAAAAATTGAAAAGTTGTGTTTTTAAGAGGTAAGTCTTCATAAGGGGCAAAACTGGTAGCAATATATTACCAAAGTTGGTGGCTTTCAAGTACTCCGCGTCGCCCGAACCCTCCTTGGGGTCGGCCGGCGGCACTAGGAAGCCCTCCACGCCGTCGTCCAAGGCCTCGAGTACCATCGGATTTTCGGGCAGCGGATGAATCTATGGGGGGCCGTTCATCGAAACGATCGCCACCTCAAATGGCTCAAAAGAGTGGGAAACATTCAGGAAACCCTACCCCTGGGGAAACTCACCAGGCAAAGTTGGTCCCAGTTCCAGCAAGCCACCTTGGTTCAGCAGCCAAAGGGCTTGCCACCCTTGGTAAAACCAAAAGGACAATGGCGAAGGGTTACGTATTGTAGTGGTATTTAATTGGGACTTAGTGCGGCTTTCCACATGAGGCTCCTAAAAGTTGGAAACTCAGGACACCCCTACCGAGGGACACTCACTGAGGTATAAGGCCACGCAAAGGGCACACATCGGCTCTGGCGGACATCATTGCAAAGCGATCTCCTCCTGGGGCACCATTGCTGTTTTCCGCGGGGGCGCGGGCGGGGGAGGGGGTAGTGGTTGCTCGCAGGGCTCCGTCAAGGTTCAAAACCATACGCCCAGGATCTAAATATTTTCGTTGTTCCTCATGGAGTCTTCCTTCCTTGCGGCAAAGCTGATCTCATCTGCAGGATGCGAGCTGGGCCAAACAACGGCCACTCCAGGCCTTCAGGGCCTCCTCCCTCCCTCCTCCCTAGCACCCCCCCCCATCCTCTCCCACTCCCCCAGCCCCACGGAGAATCGCCGTTCCCCGCTTCACCGAGCCGTTCCCCGCCTCCGGGATGGCATCGATGCGGCTGCACACCACCGGCTTCTCAAAGGCCATGGCCTGCCGCCGCTTTCGCCGGTTTTCGCCGGCGGTTGCACGAGCGAGGCGTCCGTCCGTGGGGGGTGTTGGGATCTCCGGAAGGGTCCAGAGGTGGACAAACAGATGTGGTTGGTTCTGTTTGAAGGCTTGGATGCTATGTTTGTTGTGGGGCCAATGCGCTCAATCCCAGCTGTTTCGACCAAACAGTGAAAGTCCAGTGAAAAAACAGTGGCTTAAACAAGATATGCAGGATCTAAAGACATGAGCTTGCTTAAACGAGGTTTAATGCATGGGCGGTTGACATGGTAAATCAATATTTTTAGACAACCAGTTGGTTTCTTGAAGCCGTGTTTCTGAAACCAGCTATGTAGTGTTTCAACAACCTCCTTTGGTTTCCCCCCAAAAATGGGACCAGGTGGTTGGGATTCCTAGCCACACACACACACAGTCCATCGAGGTCCAATCCGTGGCTCCATTGTGGTAAAATCTTCAAAACGACCCATGTACATGGGTGGTCTACGCTTGGACTCGGGCAGACAACGTGCTCGGACTCCGTTTCATTCGCAGTCTACCGTATACGTATGTACATAAGTCGTGGAGAAGACTCCAGGGGACATAGAAGACCCGACCTGCCAGGCCTTTCGCAACCCAACGGTATGTTCGCCAGTGGGATCGTTTTAGAAAAGCGGTGAGTGGGAAAACTGATTTCCGCATGCCCGGCGCCTCGCAAATGACCAGTGGCAGGACTTCGTTGAGGGAAGGCACCTGGAAAGCCGAGGACCGAGGGCGCGGCTCGCTGGCAAGCGAAATAGACCGCTGCCGGGCTTTTCAAGACGGAAGGCTTCCCAAGCTCTCCGGTCAGCTTACAAAAGGACAGGGCCAGAGTCTTGGGCCAACCTTAGCTGAGCAAAAAGAAAAACACCCAAATTGGACATCTCCGGAAAAAAAGAAGAAGAAAAAAAAGACGAAAACAAAACGGAACACTATCAATAAAACGCGAGGGTGTTCGGGACAAACACGTTGCTTGATGTCTTGGGATGTCAGAGGCCCTCGTATTGGATGTGGATGCGGACCCGTCCCTCTACATTGGGATGTCCTTTGCTGCAAGTTGCCTTGTCAAACCATCCCAAGATATGCCAAGGCAACCAAACCAAGCAAATCATGGAAATCTAACATTGGGGTCCCCAAAAGATGGTGGCCTCTTCAATTCATGCAAATAGCGCTGTGGGACGCTTGGCATTCCGCAGGAGCAGGAAAGCCGGATTGCTTATTCTAGGTGAAGAAGAATAAGTCATCACCTTGAAAAACGAGGCATCAAAACAAATCAGAGAACCAGACAGGCATCCTTTTAGACCCCCAGAGGACGTCCATAGGAAAAGACACATTCTGTACTCGGCACAGTGAATTCGAACGGGACAACCCTCAAAAAGCAGCTCCGTGTTTGGTAGTTGATGTTAAAGGAACATCCCTCTCCCAAAAAGGAACCAAGGATTTGCAGCCACAGGTCTGGGCTTTAGCAACGAAACCGATGAAGCCAAAGTAGAGGCGCCACCACCACGTCCGCCGCCATGTAGAATCGCATCACTTCGGCCTCGGATGTTCCACGCTTGAGCGAACAATATTGCTTACTAATGGCTCATTTGGCAGTGGGTCAAAAATAGGTACGCAAAATGAAACCCTGGTAAATGGAACGAAGGACTAAAACCTGCGGTTTTGTGGTGGTTTAGTGTTGAATCGTACCCACTTGGGTGGCCGGCGGAACGAAACAAAGCAAACTATTCTCCCAGACGCACGACAACAAATACTTCAAAGCACCCCCACACCCCATTCCAACCATTTAGGCCTTGGCCCTTGCCAACAAAACCAGGCACCCCAGGTTTGCTTTCACGCACTTGCTTGGAACCGGATAAGGAGACACTCTCACCAGTTTTGAGGACTTGCAAACATCAACGGTTGGAAATTGTGATTGCTTTGTCAAAAGGACCAATTCGGCAATCTCAAGTTTGTCTTATGGCCGACTTCAGGTTGAACATAACCTTGAAGAGGATGTGTGCAGAAATGGAGGGAGCCGGGCGTGCACACACATTGCCAGACCATATCTGTTCTCTTCCCTCGACCACTCCCCCAAACACACCAGGCATGGTTTGGCCCATCCAAGTTTTGCTCGAGGCTCTGGTGTATTTGGAGGTCCCAAACAAAAGATGTCGTCGTTGTGATTGAACGGCGCCCCACAGCCGTTGACCTTTTAGTTCTACCAAGGTGATCATTGAGCATCAAAATTGATGTAGGCCTTAAGTACTATTGCAAAAAACATTGAGCTACTTCTACTACCAAAACAGCCAGTACAAGATATTTGCACCGCTCATATGAGCAAAGAGCACAACTACACGTTCTGGGGCCTGGGGCAGTGTGAGCTCGCGTTTGCTTTTGTGGCTACTTTTGGTCCCCCCAAGTGCCCCCTTCGCCTTCCAGCAATAGACTGCCATCGAGCCCGTGGTTCAGCACCGTGAGTATGCGGCATGCCCTCCACAGCGTAATACCCATGTCCCCAAACCAAGAGACTGCCAACGGGGTGACACATATGCCCCAAATCAAGCAGGCTACCAATAGCTTTCGAGCCATTCCCCCCAACCAACATAGATCAATCTTCATATAAATGTTGTTTAATTGTTCTAAGAACCGCGCAATGTTGACCCTTAGACCAGATTGGAGTGTTGGCCAATCAATCCAAAATCTGTTGATTAAACCAATACAAAGGGGGTCCCCCTTTCACAAAATCTTGCGGATTGCCTTTGAACAACCCCTAGGTCCTCCAGTAGAGAGGTTAGAATAAGGGTACCCTTTTTTTCTGTAGTCTATCTTAGTAGGGGAACCCTCCCCCCAAAAAGAAGCGGTCAAAGGGCACCTAGCTTGGGGACCTAGACCCAGACACGCCATCCGATTCATCCGATTCGCCTGTATGTCCATCACGGTGATCTGCGGCGTCGCGCCCTTGCGCTCCTCCCATCTTTCGCAGCTCACGTCGTTCTGTGCGGCGACCTGGACAAGTGGCTCCGCTGAACCTCGGGCCACGCCTCACATGTCCCTAAGGACCCTCCCCCAGGAACTCCTTTGGAAGACTTGCTTCCATTTACAGAGGCCTTCTGGGAGCTTCCATGTTAGTCTGAGGGAGTGTAGGGGTCCAGACAAGGCCAAAAAAGAACTCGGGCCCTCGTTTGGGGCCGAGTTCACTCCGCACATCGCTGGCTTCCTAAAAGCCGGGGGTGAAACACTCTCGGCGTTTGCCCCTGGGAGCAATTTGTTTCATGGTGGCCCATATTTTCACTTGAGTGGATTGACCAAAAGAGTCAAATTTATTGCTTACCGCTAAATTAAAATGGTCCCAGAAAGATAGGTTTCCAGGAACTCAGTATCTCAAAGAGTGATAATTGTGCGAAGCATAATATCAATAGCTTTCCTACATACCCTCCAGCAAAAAGAAACGATCGAAGCCATGAAGGACCAAGAGCCCAAACCTCTTAACCTTCCCACAACTCTCCTTTCTCTGAATCAATATGTGATATTTACCACCCCCCCCCCAAATAGTGATTTCCCTTTGGCTCATGAAGGTTCATGGGCCCCACAAAGAAATAGGTTGGAAGTCGAAAATTCATATTCCCCTTGCTTTCGCTCTGGCTCAATATTGGGTCATCAAACAAACTTCACGCCCTCCGCCGAGCCCATTCTTAGGGAGCTAGGGCTGGTGCCCTGCAGGTTCACTTGGGCGCCTTGAAGATCTGATCGATATACTTGATCTCATGGTCACGAATGTAGCGAGCGCCGACGATGAGCTGCTTCAAATTGGTGCACTTGTCCTAGCAATGACCACGTATGGCCTACACAGATTTCCATTTGCATAAGTCCCCTGGCAAAACATAATTCCAGTAGTGCTAGATTCCCTCTAAACCCAACAGGAAAAAAACATAGTCTTAAGCGAATGGGAGCAGAACATAAGATGTTCAGGACCCTAAAATCGTTTTGGAGCAGAGCCCACAGGTCCGATGTCTACAAATGCGCCCGTGAAGAACATCACGAGTTCACGTATCCTTACCAAGGGGCTAGCACCAACCTGTGAAAGGGTGTAAGAAATGATCACGTGTTGCCTATACAGTTTGGACCGGATTTACACAAAACTGTGTTTTTCCTCTTGGCATCTGTTCAACACCCACCAAAAAAAGGGCACCTGTGAAAAGATTTAAAAGTTGGTTGATTGGGTTGGATGAGAAGTGGGTTCCTTGCGGAAACGAAGCACACATCATCTTTTGGTGCTTGCGCGATCGGCGCTGGATATTAGAACCCGTCAAACGGGTGCCTGAGGCTTGACCGTGGCACACACTGTATATATATATATATATTTATATTGTGTGCAAACAGTGTAGAAGAAATCGGTGTATAAGAAATTGAGGATCTGAGATTGCCAGTTGCAACTGCAGTTGCTGCTAAGAAATTGAGCCCCCCCTTGATTTGGTTGTCCAATTTCTTAGTAAACTGGTGCGATGAAGAAAGCAAGTTTGACCATCAGGGCAGTGCTCGCTAAGAGATCCAGGAGCTCAATTTCTTAGCGGGGAGGGTTCGTGCCCACTAAGCGGCCTTTTTGTTTCTAAGAAGTTCAGGGGCTCAATTTCTTAGCGGCTCAAGATCCCCCTGAACGAAATGGACGTCGTTTCTGGTGTTGGGAGGGAACTTGAGTGTAGTGGTATCACACCCGCGCCTTTGAATGCAGCAGCGCGTGCTGCGCAGCGGCCATGTTTCAGATGCCCACTGGCCTTTTAACGCTTTGCCGTTAATGCATCGGAGCTCCAATGCTGTGCTCTGACCCAGCGGTATGCGTGGCCAGGGCACACTGTCACTTGATGGCTTGTGCCAATGAAACTCAGCGCCTATGGCGCCAAGGTAAATGAAAGGGCCGGAGTCGATCTCCAGACCAAAGGGACTCTGCCAAAAACCTGCAAACGAATTAAGTCCGGATGGGCGAGATGCTCATCTCCTGGCTTTCCTCCACTCATTCACATTGCGCACTCTCACTTCATATGGCTGCCACAACTCCCCCGGCACAGGGTCAGGTGAGCCCAGAGGCAGGTGTAGAGAACACGTGAGGTTCCTACGGGTTTCCCTTTCACCTTTAACATACATCTCGAAGACACGCAGGGCCTGGTCACCATGCGTCAAGACGGGCCGACAGGCCACTCCTGCCGTCCTTCAAGGCATAGCCCACAGCTGTCACGGACCAGGCCCGGTTGACATGTGGAGCCGGCCACAAAGGAGTCTCCAAGTTGGTCTGAAGCCAATGTATGGTTTTGTGCCAGGTGGCGCTCTGGGTGGCAAGGTCAAGAGGCGCCAAATCGGCCTGCATGTTCTGATCTCTCAGTTCCCACCTGGACACCCCCGCCACCCTAGTCTTGGAACTAGAAAGGCAGACGGGGGCCCGGCTATTGGTGAACAAACAGAAGTCAAGGTAGAGCTCAACATAGGTGGTATCTTTGCCACACCTGCAGGCAGCCGGCCAGCTCAGGGCCCTTGCCCACTCAAGGATCCTGAAAGCAAAGGCCGGGTGGAAAGGGCATGCAAGAATGGGTTCATCCTGGGCCGCAATGATCCACCGTCTAGGCTCTGGGCACGGTTGCAAACTTGACAAGTCTGCTTGGAGCGTTCTCATCTGAAGGCCATCTTTCCTTCTTTCAGCCCCTTTCGCCAAGTGCAAGTCTGCAGTCTTCACCATTAGTTCGTACAAATTACTCAGATGTACCTTCCTGACTTTCCGTCTGGTAGCTGCAGCATTGGCACGTTGGAGTTGGCGATGGCAGCCATGCTGGATAGCCTGCTTGCATGGTGATCAGCCCAGTCATTGGCAAAAGCTTCCCACTTCAGCTGTGCCGTTGGTGCCTGTGCCATGTTAGCATGCGCCTTGGTTTTCCTGATCTGGACAACGGCTCCCTGCTTGCGCTTCAGGGTGCAGCAGATCGCTTCCCAAAGATCCGCATCACGTGCTTTGACAGGCTCCCGTGTCTGAACAGAATTCAAGGCTTTCTCGAAAAGCTGAACAGCGGCCTGGCAGTCACAATAGATGGTACAATTTTCAATCATACTGATTGCAAGAAGGATGGCATAAACTTCACCACGGTAGCTGTTTTGGAAGGCACCCGGTAAAATTTCCCCAAACGCAAAAAGCAGTCTGCATTCAGTGGGGTGAACCTGAACCACTGCTGAGGATGCAAGCGCCGTGTAAGGGCATGTCTGATTGAAAGCAGACCCATCCGTAAAAACCTGGCACACACTGCGACCATTAGCAGTCCGCTTCTGCTCAAATCGTGTCCACAAGTCAGAGGAGAGGGTGGCGGGATCTGGCAGGGTAGGGATGTGCGACTGAATGTTATCCAGCTCGGGATCCCAGGGACACACACCAAAATATCGGCATGCTTCAGGCCAATGTGCGACCGCGCGCACAGAGTCTGCAAACTCATTCCGTATGGCCTGGGTAGCAGGGCACTGGAAGACCCGACGCAGGCGACCGTCAGGTTCACCACACAAGTCACATGTTCCGTCACATCCAGCTATGTAATTGGCTAGGATATCACTGGTATAGTGTTTCCCTGCCAAGCAGGCAAGGATGATTGCCCTTTGTCTCGGCGCCTGAGATTCTAGAACCTGGGAGGTCAGAGGCGCATCGAATGCAGTCACGTCGAAGTGCTTCCTGCCTGCACACTGTTTGGCGACATACTTGTTCCAGTGAGGCCACAAGAACTTCTGTAGCAGTTTTGGTGGCGCGTGCACCCAAGCAATTTTTTGTTGCCTATATTGGATAAACAGGCCATCATCACTGGTGGTGCAACCTAGCTCCCTAATAACATGAGCCAAAAAGGCAACAGGGCCTTTGGGCTTTGTACCGGGGTCAAGGGCAAGCCTGGCGAAAACACTCTGTGCTCGATGCGGGAAAGCCATGACATACCGTCTCCAGAAACGGATTCGCTGCAGCATGGCTCTCCATTGGGGGTCGAGGTTAGTGTCTGCAGCATTGAGGGCCAACCACACATTGGTGCCATGTCCTGCCCTGTTAAGGGCTCTGGCAACCGCAACTCTGAGCGAATGGGTGGGCGCCTTGCTGTGCGGGACAAACTCTTCACCATATGCGCTACAACCCAGGCCAGCAGAAACAGCAACCGTCTTTTTGAAGGACCCGGGGATTTTGGTTCGTCCTAACTTCAGGAGGCGAGTCCTAGCCTTGGCGATTCGCTTCGTCTTGGTGGCATAGGGTCTCTTTCTGGTATAGGAAACATCCGCTCCTAGGTCCTTGGCAGTGTGCCTGACTGGGACGCGTGCAGAGTGAATCACAAGTCCGCGGAGTTTCTTGCGAATGTTTGGCTTGTTGCTCCAGGTCCAACTCTTGTCAGGCGCAATTCGAAGCTTAAGGTCATCCAAGAAGGCAACCAATTTTCTGACGGCATTTTCCAACCTGGTGAGGCTGGTTGAAATGAGGGCCCAGTTATCAGCATAGAAAGACGAGTCAAGGCCGGGCATCGGGGCCACTACCTGCAGGTGGGCCCACGCGCACAGCACTGTCATGCAGGCAACCGCCATGGCACAGCCCTCGACAATGCCAGTTGTCGTCTGAAAGATGTCTGCGACTTCAAAAGTTCGGCGCATATCCTTCAATGCGCCGGCAAGTGCCTGTACAATTGGCCCAGGAACGCCACACTTATGCAGAGCCCGCATGAGAGGTCTGCGGGGTATGCAGTTGTAACACTTGACAATGTCAAAAATGGCTCCGCAAACTGGGCTGTTCTCCATGTTAGCCTCTTCAACCCTTTCTGCCGTATACATGGCCATGAGGTCTGCGCTGATGGCCTTTGCAATCCCTGCCACTTCCGGTGGGAAGTGGCTGCCAAGGTGCGCCATAACCTGCTGCGACCTGATTTTAGACCAAAGTCGGTAAGTTTTGCCTAGGACAGTGACCGGACGGATATCCAGTGGACTCTTGGGTTGAAACCCCTTGGGGAGACAATGGGTCTTGGCAAGCATCCACCTTCTTGGCCAAGCACTCCCTTGTTCACACACATGGAAAATATCGGCTAGCCACTCATGGAGTTCACAAGGAAGCTTCCTGAGGTCCATTGTGGAAAAACCGTCACCTCCTCTGGCACTTCTGATTTTGGTGCCTTGCAGGGCATCCTTGATCTGGGCACTGGTTATGGGGGTATAAGGCATGGGAGGGATCCCAATCTCAAGGTTATCGAGGCGCATGATTATCTGATCCCATTCAGCATCCTCCTCTAAATGATCACGCTGGACCATCGGGAGCCAAGCAGCAAGGATCTGACGATGCATGTCACTACGGTCTGCAGTCACAGCTGGTTGCCTGACCTCGAGTTTTTGGCTTTTGAGACGCACCGGTCTGTCCAGGGTGAGAGTCCTGCCATCAGCATGTGCTACCCGGGCAATCTGTCCCTGGAACACAATCTGCTCGTTGGTGTCGAACATGGCGGCATCTGCATTTTCAAGGATCAACTTATCACGTCCCCTCTTTGGGCCAGATGGTACGCTTGATTGCGGCCACTCGATCAAAGTGTATCATCTGCAAAGGCGGAAAGGGGTTCTCCTTGATGAGCCTGTAGGCCTCACTACCACCATTTGGGATGTCACACATGATCCGAATCTTTTTCCTTTGCATTTTCCCCAGAAACTTCATAGACTCGCGTTGCTTATGTTCCTTATGGAAGGCACTTAGAATCGCAGTTGCAAAAACTTGATCTGGCGCTGTGAGTGGGACGTAGCACGAGAGGGTTGAGGCAATCCAAGCCGGGAACCCCCGGTGAAAGCCCGTGGCCCCAAGTATGGTCTGCCACAATTGCTCTGCTTTCTGTGCCCGGGCTCCGTGCGGGTCCGGCTTGTTGCACTTAAGAAGATCCAGATAACTCTGCAATCTGCGAAGCTGCCTGGTCCTCCTTCTTCCTTCTACGTCTGTCTGCGTGTGCAATGGTTCAAAATCTCCGTCCCTAGCTTTAGGCGTGAGAGGCATGGCCGAGGGGCTTGTGACAAACACTGATTTCGAGGCACGCCCAAGCTGACCATTCCTGACTTGCTGCTTGGTGCCTTCCTCATCTACAACTGCATTCGCAAGGCAGGACCAGATCCTTCGGTCTGCCACAACGTTCTGCATGGCAAGGCGTGCAAGTAGCATTGGATGGGTGGCGAACAAATGGTCCTGAGTGGTCTGACATTGCAGGAGGGCACTGGCAACCTGGGCATTTCCTAGGATAAATGAGTGTCTGGCATCCTTGCATGTGGGCATGAGTTCCTCATTCCGGACTTCAGCCGAAACAGATGCACAGTCAATCCAGCCTTTCTGCAACAGGTGGGGCCAAACTCCAACATCGTCCAAATCACAATTGAAATCCCCTAGGATGAGTGCGGGGCCATTGAACATAAGCGCCCTTTGTGCAGCAGTATTAAGCAACCTATTGGTGGAACCAAGTGAGTCAGCATAAGCGTGCGATTGGGGCACTCCATAGACAACAGCCACATAGACATGTGTAGTGGGGGTGGGGGAGACCACGCAATCGGCAAAACGAGTTGATTGCCAAACATCATCTGGAATGGGCTCTCTCACCGGTGTGCAAGGGAAAGAGGAGATGATGGCAACCCCTCCCGCATTCCCCCTCAAACAGCTGGCGCTCCTTCTTTGTGGCCTCACCGGGTGTGACCACACACAGTTAAACCCTGCTTTGTTAAAATCACGGGACAGGGAGGAGATAGTGGCCTCCGTGGCAGTAGTTTCACTGGCCGTCCAAACCCCCTTTCCAAGATTCATCACAGTCTCATGTTTACCAAACAAGGCGGTAGGGTTAAAGTTGGCAAAGTGGAGTTCCGGATCAGGCATCGGCCCCGGGGTTTTTGCCTCTCCGACCCGACATGCACGGTAAGGACTGTGGCCCGAATCACATGAGATGCAGGGACCTTCCAGCTCATCAGAACTCACCGCAACAGGAACAATGGTCAAAAAATCCAGGGTTTCCCACCGACTCAAGGATGTACGTGAACAGTGAGCACGGTCATCCGGGAGTTCCAGCGCAAATGCAGAGGCCGCAATCGGGCCCGCAGTGTTTTCCATGTGCGATCCGCTGATCAATCGATTGCCTACCTGACCAGGCATGGATGGCTCCTGGGATACACAAGGGCCACTTCGATCACAAGCGAAAGAGGGTCTCAGGGACCACTGCAAAGAGGCAGCAACTGGCATCAAGATCATTAATGCCATCACTAGACATCCACACAGTGCCGGATAGCGATGCCCAGACTTCCGATCCCGGGGGATGCTCTGGCTGGCTGGGCTCAACCACATGCACATGCTGAGGAGTGCAGCTGACCACACTCCAAATTCTGGCAGCCTTCATGGTGAATTTCTGTGACCATCTCCTGAAAGCGAAGCAACAAAGGAGACAAAGGCCACATATGCAAAGTTGCAGGTGCAGGGATGCAAGGCGTGCCCGCTCTCCCACACTAAATTCATAATTGCAACTGCTCCAAGCGAAGCAGCGGCTGACATGCAAGGGGAAGCGGGTGGATCGTCCACGTTCTGACAGAGCCCCTAGTCAAGACTCCATGTCAGGCTCAGGCTTCGGCATGTTGGGCTGTCCCTTCCGCGGGCGCTTTTGCTCATGCTGCATCGCATCAATCTTTTCCGTCACAGTTTGTGACATCTGGTTGAAGAGGTCTTGCATCCTGTCCAGCATGCACTTGCTTGTGGATTCGACCGCACCTTCGACCGACAGAACTTTCTTCCCCAGCTCTTCTTGGTTGGAAGCAACAACATTGAACTGCTCATGGGAAAAAACGGTGCCTTTTTTTTGTTGGTTGAGTTTAAAGGGGAACCCTTACCCACAAAAAACAATCAAAAACGGGCACCACTGGACAACAAAGAAAGCCCACGTGGATGAATGGCTCTGGCATCCAAGTCCTCATGGATCAGCTGCGCGCACGCTGTGGCAGAGTACATCTGGCCCTTCCTGCTGCAGACCTGGCGACCGCGCTCGACCCGAGCGGCGCGCGGCGAAAAGCGTCCCATGGCGGAAAAAGGGGGCGATTGCTTTTGTTTTCTGGTCGCTTTTGGTAGGGTTCGTTTCCACCGAGAAAAAAATGGTACGGGTCAAGGAACCCCCCAAGCGCAACCTTCATCTTAGGTGAGCTCATTTGGCGCCAGTGAGCTGCAAATATGTACCCTTCAAGCACCCTAGCAGGGAAATCGAGATGAATTGGCTAACACCTGATTTATCAAAATGCCCCGAAGGGACATGCGGAAACTTTGAAGGGATGCTCACCCGAAAAATGATCAAACACAAACGGCACGAAATAGGGTGCTGTTTTGCTCCGTGGGACCTGCAAAGCACGTATAGTGTGAACGCATATGGCACCATTTCCTTTATGCCTGCGGACAAAGCGAATGATCAAACCAACATGAGGTTGCACCATGTGCTTTCACTCAACTGTAACTGGGGAAACAGTACTGCCAATAGGTGGCCTTGAGGAAAAATCGATGGCCTTGGTAAATGGAATAAACCCTATCTAAACCAGGGCCCTCTATTTTTTAAGCAAACCAACCAAACAGGACACCTATGGACTGCCCTGCAGATCAATCAACATGGAGCAGGAGGTTCCGTGTAAACACAATCTGCGGCTTCCTTGTCCGACGGTCCGAGGTGCCGTGCCCAGGTGCAGCACCAGGAAGTCCTGGTCCGTGTAGCCCAGAGAGGCACGCACCGAGCTGCGGTCCTGGGTCTGCTTGAAGTGGTCCAGGTGCTGCAGAGGGATGCCGTTGTAGATGGTGAGACCTCCCCCAAATTGCATGTTCTGCTGCATGGCTGTGGCTCAAAAAACCGGAATTCCAAAATGGAACCCTGGTAAGTGGAAACATGGACCAAAACCTGCGTAACCCCTCCTGTTTAATTTTGAGCCACGCCCAAATGGGTGTGCCACAAGTGCGGTTTTTGTTTGAAAACACAACCACTTTGGAAGTGGTGTTAAAGGGAAACCAAAAGGACGCCAGCCATTCTTTGGGTCCCCCAATTTTAGACACACCCAAATGGCTTGTTGGCTAACCCGGGGTTAAGGCTAAGGGGCAACCCAACAGAGATAGCCTAAAAAGGGTAACCTAAAAAAGTAACCTACAAAGGGATAACCCACAAAGTAGTGAGACGGACCCATGTTTTGAGTAACCCAAGGTACAGTAGGTGTCAATCAGGAGGGTTTCACTTGAGGGACGTCAAGCACCCTGTCAAGTCAAAAGAAATGAAACCTTGTCAGCCAAGCTCCAACAACCCCGCTGCAGACAGAGTTCGACCGCCAGAAGCCCGGGGTTTGGTGGGCATTTGATATTTGGCAACCTTCCAGAAATTCCTGTCAACGGGGTGGAGGCACCTGTGTCGTTGATGGGAAAACCTGTCCAAGTGTTCGAAACCCTGACAATGTGAGTCACCCAAAAGCCCTGTTTTTGTCCTGTGGAGTTTCATCGATTCATGTATATAAGTGGTTCAAAGCAACTGGAGGCCGTTCACAAGTGGTTGAAACATTTGAACAGGTTGGCATAACTTTGACACCCACACCACCCTACGATTGCGCCATACACCCAGACCTGAAGTTGGGTTGCTTCCATTTTGCCCTTCCATTGTAAACCCTTCCAACAGAGACTACTAAAAGAAGGAGGCCGGTCTGGAGATCAGTTGAACCCCCCTGTCAACATTGCGAAGCTTGGTGGGCCTTCGCACTCCTTGCTTGCCCACGATGGGCAAGGGTATCACAGAAAAGGTGTCCATCCACAAATCAGGGGTCTTGCAAATGCTATATTTGATCGCCTGCGGCCTGGTTCCGCCGCCCTCCCCCCCCCCCTCGCCAGTCCCTCCTTGGACACCCGAGTGGCGCGCGCGGCCTGCCTTACCCCAACCGATTCCCAAGCAAACTTCAGATGTCCAGCGACCTCAGCCCCAAAAGGTGATGTTCAGAACCACCAACAGCGGAAGTACAGGGGAACCCTGCAAACAAAATTGAAAAACGGACGCCTCTGAACATGGCAAGAAGAGTACACTCAAGAAAAAGGCGATCTAGATCTAGATGATGAAATCTTGCTGCCTGGGATCCAAGTTCCACCAAGAGTTGGTTTCCTCCCTCGAGAAAAAAATAACACTCATTTACTATTCACACACTGTGCACAACAAAGCTGCCATGATTACACGGGTTTGTTCCGCACTCCAGCCCAGCGCCTGCTTCCGGCTTGAACATGCCGTCGTATTGACGGCGCTGCATATCCGAGGGGAAGACAATGGTGCCGGCAGATGCGAAGGCCTTCCGGATGATGGTGGAGTCGATGTCTTTGCACATAAAGACCTGCAAAGAAAGCGCAGCTGATCGGTGCCCATATCTGGAGACCATGAGCTTGGCAACCCTTGGCAAGCCCAGATTCTGGAACCCGCTGCTAAGCCACTCCAAAGACTATCTGGGCAAACACCCCACAGCTTTCAGCTGTTGGGGAGCCGTTGTCCATGCAATGAAAATCGGCCCCGAATCCCCCACTAAAATGGTCAACCAATTGAGTTTCATTCTGGGGAGGTGAGGCTTCCAATAAAATCCCCACCAAAAGAGTCAACCAGTTGTTGAGCTTCCTTCTGGCCGGGTGGTACACAGATACAGACCAATTTTCCCAAGAGGCACCTCCTTGGCATAGTGGTCCAGCCTCAGAGTCCGAACCCGACACTACACATGCCTTTCCATCCGAAAAAAAAAAATCGGCACTGCATTCGTTGCTTGAATCTGACACCCAAACGAACGGGTACTAACAAGGGGCAGGTGCAAACCGACACCAAAGTCCGGTCAAAAAGTCTACGAGAAGACCCAAAGCGAAGCAGAAGCACAACACAAAAGCTGACAACCAAACCTGAACATAGTACCCTCAATCAGACACACACTCACACACACACACACACACACACACACACACACACACACACACACACACACACACACACACACACACACACACACGCACACAGTTGAGGCGTGGCTCAAAATGAAAGAGCCATGCAAATCGCAAGTGTTTGTCTTTGGTTTCATTTACCAAGGTGCCCGTGTTGTCTTCCTTATTGCTTCTTGAGCCACAGCCATTGGATTTCCAGACCTTGCTAGTGAGCAGCTGATCCTGTGGCCAACTCTCGTGGATCACCCACACGGAGGGCATCTTCAGCTCCACAGCCATCAGGATGATGTCGCAGCGCATGATGGTGTTAGCCAACAAAATGCCCACGTGTCGCGCCTCACTCATTTCAAGGCAAGTTGCTTGTGCTGGTGCTGGTTGTACTGCCGGTGGTGCCGGTGGTGGCGGCGGTGGTGGTGATGGCGGTGGTGCTGGTGCTGCTGATGGTGCTGGTGCTGGTGGTGCTGGTGGTGCTGGTGCTAGTGGTGCTGGTGGTGCTGGTGCTGCTGCTGCTTGCTGCCGGTGGTGGTGGTGGCAAAAGCAGGAGGAATAGCAAGAGTAGAAGCAGTGGTGGTCGAAATCATGATAGTAGTAGTTCATTCATCTCTTCCCCCCATTTATAAAGGTCTCCCCAATAACAAAATGTGTTTTGGAAGTCCCAAATTCGGGAATACTACTTGTAGAACAGCCAATGCTAAACCAATTCTACTGTGGGCATTTTCCTGCACGTACTCAAGTACTACAAAGTTACGACTTTCGAGCCGGAACTCCTGGAGTACGTTTCCTTTACTACGGTCGTACTACAAAGTTACATCTTTCGAGCCGGAGCTTCGGGAGCACGTTTCCTTTGCTATGGCTGCACTACAAAGTTACAAAACAAAACGAAACATGACCTCGACTTCTGCTGTTTAAATTCCTTACTCGGAAATGGACGTTTCATGAGATTTCACAGACCGGAATGGGGGGGACCTTACAAAGAACAAGAGGTACCTCCAAGCCTGCCCGGGCCCATTGAGTATGAGGGTTGGCGGGAAGGATGTTTTACGCCAAAACTCCCCAAAAAGTGGGCCGTGATCACTAGATTCCTATCAAGGTGGTCCATATACAACCGTCCCTATCACCCAAGTCAAGGGTTTATTGAACATGGCACACATGGCATGAGGCCCCAGATTCAAACTGCCTAACTTCATATCCCACAAGATGCCAAAGGCATATGGGCGTGCCCCAACATAGGAACAAGGCCCAGCAAAAGTGCTTCTCTAGGAGGTGCTCCAAAAAGATACCCATTTGGGCTGATCAGTCTGCGGGCCAGTTCAAGTACATAACCGCGATAGTGCATGAAATGACAATTAAACAAAGACTTGTCACAACAATCATCCGTTGCTATTTGGGTGCAGTGGTTTGGGGTCTAGTGATTCCACCCTCTTAGTCCAGGGACGCAAAGTTTGTCAGAATTTGGTGACCAACATATATTATACGTACATTGGATTAGCAAGCACTGTAAGCCTATTCGTGTCAGGAGTGTGTGGTTGCGCTTGAGGAAATGGAAACGTGTGGCATTGCCAAAGCTCCTCACCAAAGGAATCCTATGGTTTTCTATGTTCCCGGTGATTCCATGACCACTACCAGCCTCAAGCACACAAGTCTTTCAACCAAAGCACGCTGTGCATGGAGAAAAAATCCTGCACCAGTTGGCAGGTGGGTCATTCCGTTGTTCAAGTGGTTCCAGCAAATCGTCCATCCACAGCATCTTGGGAATTCCACGAGCTGCAACTCTCGGTTGCGCCACTTGCTGGCAAGGTGCCAACAGAGCTTTGCTCAAATCATCCAGGAAAGTTGGAGAGGTCGTGTCCTCAGCTTCTCGAACTGATCGAGCTCTGGATCTGCTGGTTGCTTTGGTGGTCCTTCGCAGTGGATCCCAGTTGCAAGCTCCCATAGTAGGTAAGCTATGTTTCTTTTGGCTCTTAAAGGGTAGGACACCCCTTGTCCACTGGGCTTTATTACACCAGCCAAAGGCAATGATCTTATTTGTTTGGTCAAATCCAAGCTGCTGTATCGGTTGCCGCTCCTGCTCCTGCTGTTGTTGCTGCTGCTGTTGTTGCTGCTGTTGTTGGCGTTGTTCTTGTGGTACCTGCAATCAACACGGGGGCCTCGCGCGTCCGGTTGCCTCCGGGCGGCTACGATGGTCACCTCGAGGCCCAGCTTCTCGAAGTCCTCTTTCATGGGCCCAGCTTTGGGGGAGAAGATGGTCAGGGGCTGACTCGTCTTCAGGATACCTCGGGTCAAGCAAGCAACCAACGAACCAACCAACGTACATATAATATATACTATGCACAGAACCTGCCAACCAACCAACCAACCAACCAACCAACCAACCAACCAACCAACCAACCAACCAGCCAGCCAGCCAGCCAGCCAGCCAGCCAGCCAGTCAATCAGCCAGCCAGCCAAAGAACCAAAGAACCAACCAGCCAACCAGCCAGCCAACCAGCCAGCCAACTAACCAACCAGGGAACCAGCCCTAAGAGAAGCTGACTCGCCGATCCTGAACTGTGTGCTTGCTAAAACAAGTAGTCTGATACTGAACAAACTACATAGTCTGAAATTTTGGTGGTCATGCCTGCCATGAGCTGGCTTCCTGACTGGATTGGCCCAACAGTTTGATTTGGCTAGTGCTTCCTTGCCTAACTGGGTGGATTGGCAAAACAATGCGTATATGTTTGGTTTGCAACTAAATTGGCGTCCCAAAGCGTATATTGGAAGCAAGTCGTTTCCTTGCTAAAAGCTAATATATGTTAGTGGGGATATGTCGAACATCCCCTGCGAAACTCTACAAGCATGAGGGTAAGGCACCGCCAAGATACGTGCGATGTAGAGGCAAAAGTTGTTGGCGCCGTTCCTCGCGCGAGGCCAACAAAAGCCTGTCCGACAGTGTTCCTCTGAATAAGCCCAATGGCAAGCGAGAACAAGAGGTCCTCCAAAAGATCAAAAGGTGGTAAGAATACGGATATGAACTATGTTTCAAGGGAACTCACCCAAATGGGAATATTTGGTACACACAACCAAAAGGAAAAATAGTCAAGCCACTACCCAAAACACCTGCCATGCGGGATGTTCTGGCTTGAAAATGCTGGGGCCGTGTGCTTTATCAAAAAGACAAGGGCAAGCAGTTCAGCAGATCAAGACGTATCACCAAATGACTTTCGAAGGTAACACTTGTATACGAAAACTGCCTCCTCAAGTCCTGAAGTCCTGCAAATGTCAGCAAAGCTGCTTCTTTCGCAGAACATTTGTCTTGAAAAAGAGAGGAAAAGAACAAGAAAAGGGCCCAATTCCATTTTCCTACCTCGTAGTTTGGTCATTGCTTTGGGGTGTAAATGCCAGCTTGATTGTTTTGGTCGGCGGCTGACCAGTGTGTGAATTCCAACTAGGGACCCTCTTGTTGAACATCCTCTACACGGGAATGTATGCCCACCAATCAGTTTTGAGGGATTTCCCAAATTCATAGACAGGTGGGTACTTGGGTAGGATATCAAAATAGGGGGCATCAAACATTGCCAGCTTTTCTCTTGGTTCCCTCTCAATCCAACCTAAAACGTGTACCAACCCCAAAATAAAACAAAAACTCAAGTAAGCAGCACCCAACACCCATTTGCTGTCGGTGCTACCCATCAAATGGCTATAAAGGGGTCCCAATCATTTTATCATTCCCACCGCAAGACCAGGTATTTGCCACTGGGAATTGATGGGTGCTACGCAATAGTAGATATTTGGAGGGGGAAAAGGATTCCTCCGGCGGCGTCCTCTCCAGGGAGTGGGTGAAGATAGCGCACGCGGGACGTCCCGCCTGACTCCGACTCGAAGTTCAACTAGAAACTGGGGACGCATCCGACCGCTGAAAAATCAAAGACTTTGCAGCCCAGTAAATCCCAAAAAGAAGTTGCTTGGAACAACCAACAACCCTTTCGACCAAAGAAAAGGAGCCAATGGCATGGCTACAGGTGTAGCTGGGGTCCGGTGGGCAGGCAAGGGAAGGCAGCAAAGTCTGGCAATGGGAAGATCCCGCCAATGGAAACTATTCGAAGGAGTGTCTTCCAAGGGGCCTCCAGGCAGGTGCCAGGCGGGGGGGTAGCTTATGTGGTGACAACTGCCGCGCAAAGCGAAGGACTTGGTTGATCCTTTGCAACAAGCATGGGTTATGGGCAAAGACCCCGAAGGCTGCCAGCTATTGAGGACTCTTCGGAGGATCCATGCAACCACCAACCACTTTGAGGGTGGTCTCACCTTCATTCCCGAAACGATTTTCGGTTGCTTCACAAAGGCACATCGTATTTGGTTGACGCATGGGACCGTTCGCCAGCCGGAAACCCGGCCACGCCACTCTCTTGCCACCACAGGCGCATTCTCCCATCGCAAGTCCTCCGCGGTGGTGGGTAAGTCATCCGCGCTGAAGCTGTGGTCGTGCAGCACCTGAAGCACCTGGCGCGTTTGGCGCTGGTCAAGCAGCTCATGGCGACTCTGTGTCTATCTCTCTCTCTCTCTCTCTTTCGCTTTCGCTTTCTCTCTGTGTCGCACCCCGGCTTTGCCACGCCCACATACGGCCAATAGCCAGCGAGGACCCGTTCTGAGGTGTCGCTGAGCCAAACGGAACACCCTGATCCCCTGGCTCCTCATCTCTTGGCCCACTGGGTAGACAACTGGGACCCAGTTTTGCGGGGTTTTCCAGGAACACCAAAAGGACAACAACCATGTTGGTGGGTTTCCTAAAAATCGACACCCATACTTCGCCGTCGTAGACTTCAAAGAATGGAAAACGCGTGTTGCCTTCTGGGGGCTCCACCCTGAATTCAGGAAGCCCCAAGTACCTGAGCTCGTTTTGGCCGTGCTGCGGCGCTTATTTTTTTCTTTGGGAAATGCTCTGCCGACAACAGTTCTCAGAATCCAAACCCTTATAGTGAAAAAACACATCATTCTGGATTTGGGGCATGATGAATCCCATGGTTGTCAAGGGCCCCCAAAGAGGGTGCCCCCATCCAAGACGGCCTCACATGAGCTCACATGGAACCATGTTGCAGAGGCAATCCAAATGCGGTTTGAGCCGTTTCCTGCGTGCAAAATGAAGAGACCGAAGCGCAACAAGCTATCCTGAGCACAAAGCTACCCGTGCCGAGTGATAGTGACCAACTGCGTCCCCAACAAAAAACAAAAAAAACATAGTTGCGTTAGTTGCCGTTAACTTTGCACTGGGATTCGGAAGAGGCCTTGACAGCCGAAAGAGCAGATCGTGTGCTAAGGCTCATGTAAACCCAACATCTTCGCACCAAACGATGGCTCGATCTGATTCTACTTCCATATAAAACCCCTAAAATACTCACTCCCTTCGTAGACTGGCCAAAAAAGTAAAAAAACTTGTCATTTACCACTCTAATGGTCCAAAACCAAAAAATGTCTAAAGTTCATGAACTCAGGGAGTCATAGTAAGCATAACAAGGGAAACCCTAACAACAACATGGACCCATACGCCCAGGCCTCCTGGATGGTGTCGTTGCTAAGCCTTGGCGATTACACGAAGGGTGGCAACATTGAAACCGAAAGGTGATGACCGCGAGGTGTGCATTTTGACACATACAGATTACACATATAGTTTACGTGTGGCGTGTGTGCATATATATATATATATATACGTATTATGCATGCATGCATGTACGTATGTGTGTATTAGTACTGTGATATGTTCGCCAACTTCTGTCTGGCGTGGTTGTGAATTGTCCGCAGGGTTCAACAACATCTTGACCGCTTCTCAGGGATCATTCAAAACGGATCCTACTTGGATGTTCAAACTGCTTGAGTCGGATAGAAACGGTCGTGGATCAAAACCCTGTACCCCTGGTGAACATCAACATAGGTGGTACATTGGTGTTCATCCGCCCCAAAATGGAGGCATAGGTTATGACCCGTGGCCAAAATTGCCATGATCATGCTGCTTCCGCAGCCGCGGGGCTTGTTCTTCAAGAAGACCTTCATCAACTTCTCAGCGCTGTAGGAGTCCGGCATCAGCGACGGGCGCGGGGTGTTCACCAGAGTCTCGTCCTCGTTGTCGTCAATACCTTTGCCTTAGGTTTCAGGGTTCCCTATATTCCCGCCCCCTTCCACGTGGCTTTAAAGCTCATATTCAAAAGCTACGGTGAACCCAAAACCATGTGAAGAGTCTCCAAGGCGGCACCTATGCTTGGGAGTGTCCCTAGCCTCACCGGTTTCGATGGCTCACCTCCACTTCGACATTTGAATAGGCCATTCCCAGTGGCTTCGAAGCTACGAGCTCCGCAAAACGTCTCTGGTGAGCCGCCTTCTCGTCTTTTGGAGTTGGTGCCTCTTGGGTTGGTGTTGGGAGCCAAACAAGATGACTCAAACAGACCGGATTCAACTTGGCCGCCGATTCTCGCACGCTCCCGACAGGACATTCCTTTCTTGGATGTAAGGATCTTTTAGCCCGGATCCGGGCTCCCGTTCGGGGTGGGGAAAACTGGGAACACGGTTGCAAGGCTGGGTCCAAGTGATCAGAGTGAGGTGAGCAAACCTCATGGCACCTGGCAAACTGACGCTCGAGGAACATCCAAATTGGCAGGTTGACAGGTTTGGGTCTGCCCTTCTGGTTCCAACAAGGAGGGCCAAACTTCAGCAGCCCAAGGCTTCACTGTCTTCTGGACAAGAAGATTTTGCAAGAAAAAGCGCCCACTCAATGCCCAGGTTTGCAACTGGGCTTACGAGTACCACTTGTATAAGCTGGCCACATCAAAGTTACAAGTGGTCCTTGCCCCTTAAAACTCCAAGCCCTGGGGAAGTTAATCTTTTACAGACATATAGCCCATGTTACCGGAAAGTTGAAAAGTTGTGGTTTTAAGAGGTAAGGGTCAGTTGAAGAGAAACGACCCACGGCCCAGTTGCTCACGTCGCTGGCCCAAGTCGTCAAACAAAAATGTCTCTTGGCCTCCGAGCATCCCAACAGATCCGTTCCAAGTGCTCGAATTGTCGCATTCGAGATGCCCACGTCTGCCAAGGACAAGGCCGACTTCGCGCGGACCGAGAAGTGGTCATCTTCCACCTGTTGTCAACCCGGGACCCACCTCCCCGTGGCTGGAGTAATGTGAGTTTTCCATGTCCCATGGTTTCCCGAGTGGAAGAATCCACTGGATAAGCGGAGTCATCTACATTCCGCAAGCAAGGGATCTGCACGACTAACCACTCGTTTTAGCCAAAGGCTCGAGTCAATGAGTCAAGCAATTCGGCACGGGTTCCCGATATGACTCGTCACCGCAACCAAGGGAAGGTGATGTTAGAATCACCGAAAACAGGAACCCATGAACTTTATATAGAGCTTGTTGGAGGCCTTCGTTTTTTGCGGATCCGTTTTTGGGATGAGTTTATAGTTTGTTGGAGGCTGCATTTTTGTTTGAGGGTTTTTTGGAGCGAAGAAACCCGAAGTCCCCCCTTCTCTTTTGGACGTCCCACGCCGCCTGCTCTGCGATGGGCGCCAGGTTCCTGGCATACTTGCCCCCGGTCACACGGCTGGCCGCCTCCTGGGTCACGCTCTTCCCCAGCTTCTGCCTAGCCGAGGAAAAACGGAGCGAAGCCGAAGAAAAGGACCCGCCCATTTTACTCGGTTGCTTTCTGCTCCCCTGCTAACAGTTCAACTTTTAGTGGCTTAATGGAAAACACATTAGTTGGCAAAAAGTTAAAGTCCTGACAAACAAACAGTGGAACAGCCCAGTTCTAACAAACACTTGTAAACGGCACTTTCAAGGAAGCTCCCGAGCATCGTTTTGAACCCCTTTGCAACTGACATTCTGCCTTTTGTCTAACACGGGACACTTCTCAGCAACACTTCTGAGCACACGTCGCCTTTTTTCATAGGGCAATGAAATCGAAGGTGGGGAGTCAACAAAGTCTTGGCCCTTTATCCTAAGTCGGCCCCTAGATCACTAGAGGCTGCAATGGCTCACAAAATGTGGATGCACGAAATCCATTTCGCACCACCGGTCAGAATCCCTGGAATGATTTGACTTCCCTGTAAATACCAACAAACAATGGTTTCCCATGGTTTCAAGTGGTCCAGAATTTCGTCCATCCACAATATGGCTCTAAATCAGTATATGACCCAGTTATTCCAGGCAAGCCACTATAGGTAACCACGGGTACCAAATCCGCTGAATGACTCAAAGTCTCACACTAGTCCCTTTCGTTTCCCACTCAGCAAACCCGGAAACCTTCCAAAGACACAGCCAAATGAGCCCCGGTCAAGATTGCCTGTCCCGAGCTCATTCCGCCACGCCCTCCAAAATCCACCACAGACAAGTCTGAAAGGTTTGCCCGAGTCTCAAGTTGTTTTTGGGTCATGGTTCCCTTAATAGGAACCAGTATCATGGTGAGCCAATGTGAGCCAACATCCTTATTCAAGAGTTGATGGTCATCCCTCATCCGGTAAAGGTGTCTTTTGACCCTGGCACATGTCTGGCTTGCTCGTGTAGGTTTAATTGAGGAGCCTTTTGTGCCATCGTCAAAACTCCAAGCGGTTCCTCAGGATCCTTACTTTTGACCATGGCTTCCAAGTTGCATGGCATGCAATCGCCAGGCGGCGTTCTCCAAGCGCCGACCTTGCAGCGAGTCATCCTGCGACTATCCAACCGGCCGAACCATTTGAATCATCCACAAAAGAACAGCCAGAGCACTCCGTCGCTTGCATGACGTTTCTGGCAACCACAGTCAGAAAACAAAGGACTGGCTTCCGTTTCTCCTCGCCACTCGGACAACTTTCAGAATGAAACAACGGACAGTTACTTCGACACGCCAAAAGGAATCTCACTCCTAAATGGCCGCGTCTTCTTCTGAGAGCCCTGTTGGGAAATTCATAGAAAATCCAAAGGGAAGCCCTTTTTGGGGGCGGTTCGCAAATTGGCAACCGAAAAGGTGATAAACTTCAACACCCCCTCGGTTTGTCATTTTTTGGGGACGCCCCACAGTGACTTCAGTGTTCAACTCAGTTGCCTGTAAAACAGCCCAAGAAGGGGTACCAACTCCGAAAAGACAGACCCATGTGGTTCCACTTGTTCAAGTGTCTTTCTTAGAAGAGCTATCAGAATGGGCCTCGGTTTGCCCTTTGGTTTCCCTTTCAAAAACACACACACAAGCTGGGATCCCCCAAATGAGCCTCCTTGGGTTTCCAAGATAGATCCCATGGGGCATCCCAACAAGTTGGGTTTCTAGATTCTAGACGAGCCGTTGGCTTCTCCAGGCCGGATGCGTTGCTCGTTTTCCCAAGGGGACAGCCGGACACCCTAAAAACTCGACCAGGAGCATATATGACTCCTGGTCTTCCATTGGTTTCCCATTGGCTTCTCCGGGTCTGTGAATGGACGAATTCCTGCACCACTTAGAAAAAATGGTTGAAACCATTGTTTGTTGGTATTTTTGCCGGGGGATCGAAATAGAAGCCGGAATTGTCTGACCGGTGCTGCGAAATGGTTTTCGCAGCCATCCACAGCATGTCTTGTTTTTTCTTTGTTCTTTTCTTTGTAAATATGTATATATATATATATGTATGTTTGTTATTATTATTATTATTATCATTATTCTTATTTTCCTGAAGGCAGGTGTCTCCTTGAGGGCGGTAAAGACCTTCCAGGAGCTCAGCAGCTGATCCGTGGAGCTCTCCTCGTGTGAGAAACGGGAATTACCGCCGTTTTGGGCGGTTTTTAGAAGGGAAATGAGTGGAACACCCTGACGCAATGCTTGGGGGGTCCCCTAAAAAATAAAGACACCCCTGGGGGATTTGGTTTCCCTAGATTCTAAATTGGACACTTTTTGCTGAGATCAAGAATGACACCCCTGCTAGTTGTTGGGGGAGGATTCTCTAGTCTCCATAGTTTGGAGAAACACCCCACATCAATCCATTCAGGTCGTACTAGTCAACAAATGTTACAATTCTTCCATTTGCTTAAGCCGCCTGGCAAACATAATATTTTCAGTAGTGATAGATTCCCGTTACCGCCAACAAGGGGAAAACACAAACCTTAACCACACGGAATAATTCTAAGAACTGAAATAATAATTGGATCTCCAAGTGGACCAACATCACGAGCTCGCTTCACCCCCCAATTGGCGGAAGTGCTGGCCATTAAAATCCGCAGATTGGTCCAGCTGCCCAGTCTCGTTGCGGCTAGCACCAAGCTGGGTGTCGAACAACACGTACAGTCCCCTGGTCCCAGCTTTCGAGCCGAGAAGCCGCCAGCGTGTAGACGTCAGAGCTGAAGTCTGAGTCATCCTCTCCGTACAGCCTCTCCAACTCGTCGTCCTCTTGAAACAAGTCGAGCGCTGGTTCTCAGTAGTTGCCTTGGGGAACCTCAGACCTGTTGTAGGGTAAACCATGGTAAAGCCTAAGAATCTTGGGACCTCAAAAAGGCATTTCTTTTAAGGTCCAAAACTCCAAAACCCTTTCAGAGATCCCTTGATCCCAAGGGAGGGCCCCTGATTGCGTGTGGTCCAAATTGGGGAACTGTCTCTGTCCTTGGACGCAAGGCTCATCCAAGAGTTGCTGCTCACCTTCCTCATGGTGAGACAGTGATTTCTTTCAATCAAAGCTCCGGGTGTTGAGCTAAAAATACGGCTTGAGCCAGAAAACTGCCACATAAGTCACACAAGGCTGTCTGGGTGCTAAATAGAGGCTCTGAATGATCAATCCCCTAGTGGTTCCCTTTTGCTAAATTGCACGCCATGCGCTATTTAGCACCCAGCCGTGTCACAGGAGAGTCTCCAGGAAACTAGGTTTGCAGATAGGCCAAAAACCGCGAAACTTCAGTTTCGACAGCAGAAAAACATCAAGCCTATTCACGCTTTACACTTCGGCCACTTTGAAATTAACTTCCAAGAGATTTATATAAGTGTCATTTTGAGGGTATTTGAGGCCCTTTGCTGTGGTTTTTCAAGGAACCCACTTGGAACCCACCAATTTTGGGGGGTCCAACCTCAAAAGCGACGAGTCCAACCCCATTTTTTCTTGTAGCCCAACATGGTTTCATCTCGCATCATATACTCTTCCGTGTGATCATATCTCACGATCAGGTTGGAGCTGGGGTACCTCGGGTGTAAGCCCCTACCAGGGCCAAGTAGAATCTACCTGGACCTTCAACTCCCCAAATAGTTTAGTACTGCTCCCAGTTGGAAGCTGGGAGGGACTCCGAGGTGCTCCATAAACACCCCATCGCAGGGGATCTCCGCGGGCATGTTGTAGGTGCCTCGGAGAAAATTCAGATGAGCCCGTTTCGGGAGGTTGGGACAGGGGGACGAGGGGTAGACGTAGACGTTCATCCGAATCCGAGGGCCGACGTCTTCCCCAAATCCCAGGTGGTCAGAGCGGGAAATGAAGGTCCAAGCGTCTGGTTTAAGTTCCGACTTGGTCCATCCATGCAAAATCTTGAGATCTGAGTCGGGGCGGCATCTGGGTCGCTTGGATATTCCTGCCCAGTTGCCACCAGTGATCCTAAGGGAACCGTTTCGTTTGTCAGGGCTCTGGATAAGGCCTGGTTTGGAGGAACGACGGCTTAGGGGTTAGAATCCTATGACTTGTGGCGGCCCCCGTTTTCTTGGCCAGACCTAGGCCTATGAAAACTGTCCACGTTTCGCTTGGGAAGATTGAAGGAAGCCCGCGCCACAAAGGTAACAGCTTCCGCAAACAATCTGCCACGAGTTGGCTGTGAGTTTCATGATAATAAATTATATAATGGGGAACATCGTCGGTCCTAAACAAATGGACATGAATCCCCTTCTGATGTCCAGCAGCAGTTTGGGTCCCATATCAAGATTCCCAACCAAGATCTGTCGTTTTCTGTTGGCTTCCCTTTACACCAACCCCAAGTGGGTGTCCTCAAAAAAAACATCTAGCATCACGCACGCTAAGAAAGAGGAGTCGCTGAGTGTGTGCCAGGCTGCCCAAACACCCCGGGAAGTTCCTGGCAGGTGGCAACGATGAGTAGTTTAAATGCTTGAGACCTGAAATCCAAAAATCGGTGTCTTGGGGTCTTGGGGTCTTGGGGTCTTGGGGTCTTGGGGTCTTGGGGTCTTGAGGTCTTGGGGTCTTGGGGTCTTCGGGTCTTGAAAGGTATTTTTTGTCGGGGGGGGGTTGCGGGTGGGGGGAAATTTACGAACACAGTGGGTCCAAACCAGCTTGTCTGTTGATTTGGCAAACTGTCGCCTTTATGCTGGCAGACTTCGCCTTTGAGGTGCCAAAGGCAGAACAGTTTTGCCAAGCTCATCAGGTCAGCCCGCATGTGGTGCGTGCGTGCCTGCGTGCATGCATGGGTGTGTCTGTGTCCGTGTCTGTGTTTGGTTTTGACCTTGAAAACAAAAGATGGCATCCGGCATCAGGCTAGTGCGCACATATTCATACACCAGTTTGGCCAGACAAATACAATGGTATGAATATATCTATGTGCATGTGTATACGATGGTGGTTTTCTCAAAATGGTGGAACCATTTGGTGGATGGGACACCAAAAGGAAATCAACCAGTTTGGGCGATCACTTCCTATTTTGAGAAGCAACCGTACACGCCACGATCCAGTGAGAAACCAGCAAGCTGAACCCCTGGTTGACTCAAGGGGCCTTCCGCTTTTGGCGCTCCATAAATAGGTTTGTCGTGAAAACCGAAAGCCTCCGGAAGCGAAAGGTGCAGACATCACGACTGGCCCATCCGCCATCACGGTGGGCCCAACGCAAGGTCCGAGCCATCGCTGGTTCGAGTTGGGTCTCGAGTGCTGGATTTCTTGGTCACAAGTGTTCCCACCCAAGTTCACCAGGTCTCACTTCCCGAGTGCGTTGGCCATTTTTTGCTTGCCACTGAAATGGTCTTCCCCAAAAAAGCTTAAAGGCGGAGACTCAGGAAGCGAGAGCTATACATTTGCGGCTAATCAGGGATGCTTGATGCATAGGATTCGAACCCCCACTGTACAACCCCCGGTGTAAATATCTAAATTATTGTGTATGAAAGCATGCCTTCAAACTGACGGGGGGGTCATTCCCTCATTCCCTGCTGAAAATCAGTCAGCTAACTTCCCGAACCTTGGTAGCAATTCCACCCCGATCACTAACAATTAACAGAACCAAAAAACAACACGACGTGCAAAGAAGTCCCATTGATTGTTGTCCAGCCCCGCCTCCTATATGCAAGAAGCGAAGTTTTGATGGCAAGATTCCAAGATACAGATGCCACTTCACTTGCTGTGGTATGAAACAACTGTGGCTGTGTGTGCTGTAGCACTGGGCACACACCCCGAAACGATTCAGCTCTTGGGCAAAAAAAACACCAATCATGCAAGCAACTCAGTGACCGGGAGAAAAGGGCATCCTTTTTTGGTTGGTTGAGTTTAAAGGGGAACCCTTCCCAAAGCAGGCTGCAAAACGGGGCACCACTGGGCAACACGGTGCCAAAGAGAAGTTGAACACCCCGCTGCCCCTTGGTGGCTGTCGACCCCTCCGCACAAATGTTTAACTTTCGTGGCTCCAATGACAAAATCATCATTTCGACCAAAAAGATCAAGTTGAAAGATCCAACCGAGGAGGCACAACGGCCCCTCCAACGCTCCAGTCTCCTGGACTCGCGGTTGCTCTCGAAGCCGGGCATGGCATCGCTCCACCAGCTCCGCGAGTCCCGGACACAGGTGACCTGGCTGGAACTCGGCGCTGTCGTGAGCTCCAAATCGCCAGCCCCTTTTTTTTCTGGTCGGTACCACTTTTGAGGTTTGCGTCCGGTCTTTTGTGCTGGTCACGTTTTGAGGTTGGTTTCCTGTTTGTTCGTTCTTTCTCTGTTGGTCCCACCGTTTAAGGCTGCTTTCAAGCAAGCGAAGGAAAAACCGTCCTTCTTGGCGCAGCTATTTTGCTGGGCCTGCATTTGGGGCATACTGAAAATACTGTGGATGGACGACATCCGATTCGCACCACCTAGGAAACCCTGGAAGGATGATTCCCCTGTACATGCCAACAAAGGATGGTGGCCATGGATTCAGAGTGGTGCGAAGTGGATTTCGTCCATCCACTGCATGTTCGGGTGCTTTTCCATATGGTTCTGGCTCAAAAGACCGGAATTCCATAAAATGCCTTGCCCTGGGTTTGTGGAATGGACCAAGACCTGCGGTTTGCCCTAGCTCTTAAATTTTGGTTGCCACCGCCAGATTTAGCCTCTCAGCTTCCATTCCTGCAGTCCGAGCTGGCCTTTCTGAAGGCACAAGCCGCCCGGCTTCGGTCCGAATGCGGGCGTTGCCACCCCGCGGTTGGGACAGTTCCAATTGAGCTGACGTGCCCAGTCTATCCGAAAATATGAAAGAGTTTTGGAGGAGACCCCAGTTTTGCGGCTCCATCTTCCGCAACAAAGCCCACGCCGATTTGCGAAAAAACTAATCGACGGCTCAATTAAACGGCGCTGCCGGCGCACTTCCCATGCTAGCGTGAAGATTGCGCCAGTTTTGCCGCTGTTAATGTCAGAGGACTAAGGATGTCCTGGAAGACGGTTTGCTAGGACAAGCCCTGAGAACGCACTCAAAGGGGATACTTCGCATAGGCAGCGCACACCTCAACCTTAGACCGAACAGGATCTGGATTGGCAAGAATTCGATCCATGCTGTGGATGGACGAAATCCTGCACCACGTTGAAACTATGGGAAACCATTGGTTGTTGGTATTTACGGGGGAATCATTCTTCCAGGATTTGCTAGGTGGTGCAGGATGTCGTCCATCCACAGTATCTCTGATCTTGTCCTGTCTTTGACCAGAATCGGATCCCTGGAAAGAATTGGGGGGGGACTATGATGCCGGGTTCAGGACTGTGTTACAAACTTCCCTGATGATGTGGCTTTGAATCCCTGTTGGATTGTGTACAATATCAAACTAGGCTTGCCATCCGCATGACTACTTTGTCACAAATAGCATCCTACCGCCTCAAACTAACACACCTGTTGCAAAAGTATCAGGTCCGGCAACTCAACGGAGGTTCGGTTATCTTCGGGCAGATTGTGTGTGTGTCCTTTTTAGTTTCAAACGGAAAGCAAGGAACCCAACCACGTCACAGATTCCCTTCCATAGGGAAAAAGGGGCACTTGTTGTTTGAGGTAGTCTGTTCTTCACCTCCAGACAGAAAGTCGAAAAAAAGGGGAAGCAACGCACTGGGTGTCCGAAAACATCAAACAGGTCATGTTTCATATCGTTCGGAAGAGATCAGGAAGTTCTTTTCGGTTGTTGGTTCGTGTCTTTTTCAGTCCCAATTTCTTTGGTTGTCATGTTGTTTTTGCGAAAGGGAAACTCCTCTTTTTGCTTCAGTCCCCTGCAACATTTACATTCTGTGGGTGGACGAAATATGACGAAAATCATTTCGCACCAACTAAGAAACTCTGGAATGATCCGATTCCCTCGTAAACAACAAACAATGGTTTCAACCATGGTTGCAAAGTGGCGCAGGATTTCGTCCATCCACAGTATCTCCATTGCTGCTAGATTCCCTTCAAAACCAGGAACATATAACATATTCTCAACCCATGTAGGAACTCCCTCCCCCAAAAAAAGAGGCCCTGTTTTGTGAAGGGTGAAGCTCCTCAAAATGCAAGATAAACATCACCAACCGTAGGCACTCCTCAAAACAAAATGGTTGGCTGGTTGTAAGGCGTCTACTTAGCTCCTTAAAATTAATATATCTACATATAATATATATATATATATAATATGTATGCTTATCTATTAATTTACACAACACAAACCAGCAAACAAACAAAAACAAGGCGACCAGATTTGGCGGGGGACCCACCCCCCGTCTCCGAATTGTCGCTTTCGTGCGCCGCGCCCGCTCGGAGTCCACCACGCTGCGCTGAAAGGCCTCGAAGTCGAAGCCCCCGGCCACGTCGCTGTCGCAGGTGCCCTCGGGTGTCTTGCGGCGTGCGGCTTGGTGCTCACTGCTTTGGGCCAGTTGCTTGCCCCGTTTCGGTTCTTCAGGGGAAATAGTTTGTTTTTAGCTTGTTGGCGTCTTGTCTTCAGGGTAGTGCTCACTGCTTTGGGCCAGTTGCTTGCCCCATTTCGTCTTCAGGGTACTTTGTCTTAGCTTTTGGCCTCTTGTCTTCAGGGTAGTGCTCACTGCTTTGGGTCAATTGGTTGTCCCATTTCGTCTTCAGGGGAATTATGTTGTTTTTAGCTTGTTGGCTTTTTGCTGGCTTTTTTAGGGTATGGTGTGTGCGTTTTTGTCGGGTGTATTGCCCTTTTCTTGTTTGGGGTGTTGGTTTTGCGAATCGTGTTCCTGGGGGTTGGACCTGGAATTCTTGACTCGAAGCCATGGCACCCCGAAAAGTTGCACCCACCCCTGGGCTCAACCGGGTTCCTTAGGGAACTACCCCTGAAAATCGCTTGCAACTTGCAATGGGACCTGAAAATGATCCCTTGGCCCTCGGGGTCGGAGGCCCTCGCTTTTCAAGGCAAACAGCTTCCCCGTGCTCCACGTCTCGTCGCAATTCGTTCGCCCTTCACGATCCCAACTTTAAGACCTGAGAGCCACCCGCTGGCGCATTTTCTCGCCTCATAGCGGGCGCAGGCGGCATGGCAGTCCTCTCCCGGCTTGCCGAGGAGGTGATTCCAGCAAGGAAGCTCCGACCTAGTCATAGAAACCAGGCAGTACAGCAGAGTTTAGCCCCGAACACATGCCAACACGAAGGACTTCCTTTGGTTTGATCGAAAACGAGGACACCCATATGGCTATCAATTTTAAGAGTTGGAGCCACCTTACAAGTGCCCCCTCCCCCGATCACGGTCATGGTCATGGCCAAAACTTCTCTTGGAAGGATGGTGATACCAGCCCCAAGTGAAGTGGTCAAAATGACCATGGCAAGTTTTGCTCTTTTCGTGCACGCGAATTCTCCCCGCGGGTAACATGGAACACAAACGAACGTTATGTAAGTTATGTAGCATGGTACCCAAAAAGACCCTGGGAAATACCGTGGTCAACCAAGTGGACACATATGGGTCTCTTAAGAGGAACGTTCAACCCCAAAGGAACTTTCCCCATTTAGTGGTGAAAGTCATCTGTCTTGCCTAATGGTCACCCCATGTTCATCGGAACTTTTGATCAACCTCCATATGCACAATCTGCAAATGGAATTCCAAACAAATGGACATCCTGCAAAAAAAGGCCTAAGGTCATGCTCCATTTGCTCAAGTCCGCTGAAAAAGAAGTCCAATAGTGATAGATTCCCTCCAAAACCAACAGAGGAAATTACTCCTAAGCAAATGGAAGTCATGAGAAATACATAGGTTCGACTGGGCATTGTGCTTGTGGTCGCCATAAAGAAGCAGGAGTCAGGGCAACTGAAGCGCATCTTTGGTTTCCGCTCCGCATGGTGCGGTTTTGGACAGGTTGATTCCGTCGAAAAACAATCAGTTGGAGACCTTGGCTGAAGCAACCTCTGATGAAGGCCCAACCAGCCGCCAGTTAGAACGGAAGCGTGACGGAATGATTTGGCCTCAAAGGCCTTTCAAAACGACTGCAAGCGCTTGGGGTTGATATGGAGTCACAAATATAACTGCTGAAAAACAAAACAACGACAATGGTTGGGGTTGAATTGGGGTCCTGATTGTCATAGCTATGAGTCCCTGGCAAAGCGAAAAGCACTGGCTGGGGTTGACTTGGATTTATACGTGCAAGCCTGGGAAACACACAACACAAGACAGACAATATCACTGGCGCCGACCTGAATTCATTGACGGGAAAACTGGAGAACAACCTTTGCAACTAGTTAGATTTGATGAGGTTGCTGTATGAGCAGTATGCAGACCCGGAACACAAAACCACCCACGCATGGTCGGGGTTAAGCTTGATTTATGCATATGTTATGAACACTGGAAACCTGACCCTCCAGTGCTAGAGGTTGATTTGGAGCAGTGGCTCAGGTTGATTCGGGTTCATGGGACGATGTGAAGGGCAGGTAGGATCGATCCAGCCACCTCTCTGGCAGGTATAACAGCATAATTTTACCTCAGACACCAATATGTTCCCTATGTTTTTCCGTCACGTACTTTCGGGGTATACAACAAAACTCGGTTTCAAGATGACACGAGAAGTTCAGGTCTCGATTTTTTGTTTCTACAGGAAACTTGGTGTGGCCCCCCCTTGTCCGTCCCAAATGAACTCCGGACAACTGGCAACTTAAGCCTGAGCCCACACCCCGAGTGGCCAACCCTCTTGTAGGTAATTGGTTCTCGAAGGGGAACCCCCTCCCAGAAAAAAGGAAACACGGGAACCGCTGTTCGCTCCAATCGAGGCGCTGGGTGGTGGTGAAGGTCGAGGTAAAGGTGACGCTCGTCGTGGATGTTACGGTGGATGGCCTCAGCACGCCCGAAGTTGGTGTAACATTTAAGTGATGTCTGCCTCTGTTGGTTGGTGTGAAGGGAAACCAAAAGGACAACGGTGTATAAATTCAAACAAAGGAAAACAAGCATCTGAGGGCCCCCGTATTTTAGGATTGCGAGTCTGGTAAACTGATAGGGGGCTTCCACAAAAATAAGGATCCCCTAACTGGGACACCCTCTATGAATCAACCAAGGGTTTACTACGGAAGATTGGGCTCATATTCGGGAGGAAACTAACTGCCCACAACCTCGCAAGGATCGAAAGGAAATTCCGATCGAAGGGGTTCTGCTCGAAGTGTTCTGGGAATCGTCCTTGGTGGCGGGAACTTCCAAAGATATCGCGAAACAATGATACCTATATAATATGGATTCTTAGTTGCTTTCTGCTCCCCTGTTACAAGTTACTTTTTAGTGGATTCATGGAACACCCTTTAGTTGGCAAAAGGTTAAAGTCCTAACATCCAAGCAAAATGCCCGAAGTATACATAATATGGATTGATGCACATGTGCCTTTTTCAGCATACCCCGAAAGAGATTGTAGGATAAAGAGCAACAAAAGATCAACCTTCTGTTTTGCGGGTCCCCCACTTCAATCAAGCAGAACTGGCTGGTTGTTGAAAAGAATATTGACATGCTGCGTTCAGTCACACAATCAAAGTGAGGGACCCTCGTCCTGGGTAAACTCGTTGTAGTATGTCGAAAGGTCCCACAAGATGGGTCTGAAAAAGGAAGTGTGAGGAGTGCTGCAAAATTGTAGCCGTGGTTCTTTCAGACAAGCGAGAAACAACAAGAGAGGACAGCCAGGTGCATTGTCTGTGCCTCCGAAGAAAGAAGCACACTTTCAAAAAGGAAAACCAAACAACAAGAATCAAATACAAGCGATCGGAACCCTTTTTTCGAGTCCCATTGGGTCCCGTGATTGAAAGAACCCGATCCAAAACATGGAGACCAATGGATCCCAGTTTTTGGCTCTCTCTTTAATGGCGTTGTTTTTGGATACACTTTACGGGGAGCTGGAACTGCTCGCCTGCACCTTGCCCGACTGGGCAAGCATCCAGATTCACTTTAAAGCCCAGGGGGAACAGAAGAAATAGTCTGAAGCCAAGAGATGTGACTTGTTGGGAGCCCCAAAATGGAGGATTCCTTTGGCTTTCCTTTACCAAAAAGGCACAGCAACCTCCTCAAAGAGACACACTCAGATCTCGGCTTGTTCCGCGGGGACTCCAAGAGCATTCACTCGTGCCATGAACTGCATGCAAAGGTTTTAGATGCTGCGAAGGACTGCTTGACACTGCGGCCTCGTAGTGCAAGTCTCAGTTGCCCAAAGGACCCAGATGAAAGGTCAACGTTTCGAAACCATGACTAAATACTTTGGGCAACTGAGACGTGGGTGTGTGGACCCCCACAAAATAGTGGGTGTTCCTTTTGTTCCCTTGAGAAACCAACAAATCAGGCGCAACAACTCATCCACCTGGATGCGCATCGAGCGGCTGGCGTCGCTCGGAGTCCCCGTCCCCCGGGACCACCGGTGTGCCGGGCACATAGGACACGCCCAAAATACGGCGTGGCGGCGCCAGCACGCGGCAGCCCCCTGGGTAGACGTGGGAGGAGGGTGGAGGGTGGATGGGTGGTGGCGGCGGGTGGAGGTGGGGAACAAATGTGAACAAAAAGAGCGTCTCTTGTTGGTTTTGTTGATTTTACAGGGAGCATGACTCTGAGCTTCTATAGGTTTCATGTTGTTCCTCTCTGTTTTTGGCGAACGAATCGAAGATGCTAGTAGTTGCTACTGTTGTGCTTTCCCCTGCAACCAAACACCCTGCCTGGTAGGAAAACAATCGGAGCCATCTCTTTTGTGGTTGAGAGTTTGTCGCGGGGAGCTTACGAAAAAAGGAAACAGGGTGCCACCGAACAATTGATCTTCTGCGACAACAAAAGTGGCGAAAAAATGCGGGGCATTGTGAAAGCTTAAGCACAGAAAACGCTGTTTGGTAGGATCTCCATTCGGAAACACCCTGGTTCTTGTGCGACTTGGCCCACCTCTGGGGTATGCAGAATACTGTTCAGATCCTGTTTCATTGGTCCTGGACCCTCACCCATTGGGATGTTGCAAAGTGATGGTTGGTGAATACCCTTTTCCAAGGGTCCAGGAACCCACCAACAAACTAAACGTATTTTGGAAGAGACCTAGAGAGGCTGACAGGGGCCTGGAACAAGAAACCGCCCCGCCTGTGTAGAAGTCGGCATCCGCGTCGCACACCTGGAAAAGGGAAACTCGCAATGACATGAGTCGCCTTTGGAGCTGTGGATTCCGGAACAAAAGGGCGCAAGCCACATCCTTTGGCAGATTTGGAAGGGACACTTGTTGCAGGGAAAGCCTTGCTGGTGTATACTCAGGGAATGACCCAGAGTGGGAATGAGCCTAGGGATTGCTTAAGCCATCGATTGGTTACGGAGGTCATTCCCGCCGCCACCGATCAAAGAACGGGCCTCAGGACTGGGGCTTTAAATCCCCCACCTCAAGCGCAAGAGACAAAGCCAAACAGAAGGAATGTACGGCGCCGTCCCTGTTCGGTCGACTGTCCAAAAAAAACCCGCTTCAGAATCTGCCAGAAACCTCAACGAAAAACGCGTGGCTAAGCGCCTCAGAATCTGCCAGAAACCTCAACGAAAAACGCGTGGCTAAGCGCCTCAGAATCTGCCAGAAACCTCAACGAAAAACGCGTGGCTAAGCGCCTCAGAATCTGCCAGACACCTCAACGAAAAACGCGTGGCTAAGCGCCTCAGAATCTGCCAGAACCTCAACGAAAAACGCGTGGCTAAGCGCCTCAGAATCTGCCAGAAACCTCAACGAAAAACGCGTGGCTAAGCGCCTCAGAATCTGCCAGAAACCTCAACGAAAAACGCGTGGCTAAGCGCCTCAGAATCTGCCAGAAACCTCAACGAAAAACGCGTGGCTAAGCGCCTCAGAATCTGCCAGAAACCTCAACGAAAAACGCGTGGCTAAGCGCTCAGAATCTGAAACCTCAACGAAAAACGCGTGGCTAAGCGCCTCAGAATCTGCCAGAAACCTCAACGAAAAACGCGTGGCTAAGCGAATCTGCGAAAAAAACCTCAACGAAAAACGCGTGGCTAAGCGCCTCAGAATCTGCCAGAAACCTCAACGAAAAACGCGTGGCTAAGCGCCTCAGAATCTGCCAGAAACCTCAACGAAAAACGCGTGGCTAAGCGCCTCAGAATCTGCCAGAAACCTCAACGAAAAACGCGTGGCTAAGCGCCTCAGAATCTGCCAGAAACCTCAACGAAAAACGCGTGGCTAAGCGCCTCAGAATCTGCCAGAAACCTCAACGAAAAACGCGTGGCTAAGCTACGAAAAACGCGTGGCTAAGCGCCTCAGAATCTGCCAGAAACCTCAACGAAAAACGCGTGGCTAAGCGCCTCAGAATCTGCCAGAAACCTCAACGAAAAACGCGTGGCTAAGCGCCTCAGAATCTGCCAGAAACCTCAACGAAAAACGCGTGGCTAAGCGCCTCAGAATCTGCCAGAAACCTCAACGAAAAACGCGTGGCTAAGCGCCTCAGAATCTGCCAGAAACCTCAACGAAAAACGCGTGGCTAAGCGCCTCAGAATCTGCCAGAAACCTCAACGAAAAACGCGTCGCTAAGCGCCTCAGAATCTGCCAGAAACCTCAACGAAAAACGCGTGGCTAAGCGCCTCAGAATCTGCCAGAAACCTCAACGAAAACGCGTGGCTAAGCCTCGGGACCTGTTCAGCGGCGCTTTTCTCACCCAGTGACCTTGGGGGAAAAGGAACGCAATTCTTGGTACCTGATTTCAAAAGGCCCCCCCCCATCCATCCAACATAATAAATGAGAAACACGCCTGTGCTTTCTTCTTGTTTCTTTTCGGCTCAGTTGTGTGGAGGTAGGGGAGGTATATCTTCCCTGCTCTAAGCCTCACCCGCCCAAGGCGTGAGCGAGAACGAGCAAACCTTTGACACCCACTGAGAGCCGCTCAAGGGAAAAGCCGTGTTGAAGTCTGTTAAAGCTATGGGGTCGATAGGCCCAAATGGGCAATGGAAGGGTTTCGGCAAAGGTGTCGGGGACATCACCTGGGCTGTTGCTGGGAGACCAAAAAGGAGTCGTTCACTTCACATTAATCTCCCCAAAGCAGACCCATCGGACGCACATGTAAGCCACAGACAAAAATGAAGAAAACAAGCACGTCTAAACAAGTTCGGTGTTATACTTTCCAACTTTAAATGATAATCATCCCGAAGCATAGGATTGAGCAATGCATGCTGTCCCTTGTACTCAGGGAATCCCAAGTTTGGGCCCGGAACTCCCTGCCGTGCATTGATTAGGGTGGGATGCCAGGATGCGTAGCAAATGCACACAGGGAAGTCTTGGAATCATATCCTTACTTGCCCAAAGGACTAAAGGTGATCTTCTTTTGGGTCTGGTCCAACCAGAAATATCCAGTGACTATTTCCCCAAACCAATGATGAAAACGCAAAATCTGCAAATGGAACTTCCTGCACAGCTCCAAGCTGTCGACTTGACGGCCTAAGCCTTCTGCTGTAAGGCCTCCCAATCTTGTGTCTGATTTGGGTATGTCCTTTCTGAGACACCTTGTTTGTGGCTGAAAAACAAACTCCATTTTGGGGGGTTCCCCCCCCAAAACAAAGCACTCTCATTTCAAAAGCAGCCTTACCAAAAGCGCATTCACGACAGGAAGAACATGCGTGCAGGCATGACAGCCACGCCCGTGCACTCTGTCAGCCTGGCCAAAGCCAAGGCGCAAACTCCAGAGCAAAAACGCCGTGCCTCAGATCAAACGGACACTGGATGTCAGCTGGCAGCACATTCAGTGGGAACCCTGCGGTTTTACACACCCCGTCCCAATGCTCTTTTTTGTGGCAGCAGTTTACAAGATACCCCCAACCCCGCCTTCCCCCTGTTGCCCAAGCATGCGTTGCTTGGAGCTGGACTGGAGGGGGACCCGCCTCAAAGGTTCAGTTTGTATCAACAACAATTTCAGGTGGGTTGTTTGGAGGTCTTGATTTGATTCACATCAAAACAGCGGTGGAGGTTACTGATATGGGCGTCCGTTACCCATGGTCACATGCGATCCAACTGACATGAGAGTTTGGCGAGTAACCCCCCCTTGTCCTAGCGGCATGTTGGGAAGTTTGCCCCATGCAATCTCCTTGTGCTACTGTAGATGTCAGGAAATATTGACATTGGGTTGGTTATTGTTCCGGTGGGGGGCCCTACATTGGTACTCCAACTTTCTTATCTAGGGGTTGATGACCATCTCTAGTCCAAGTCAAAGGGTGTCAACTGACCACGGCATATTCGGAGACCGAAAGGCTCAAATCGGCCAAATGGAGACTCTTTGCAGTTGGTACCCCTTTTTTTCTATGGTTTTGAGGAAAGACCACAAGGAAAACCCTGGCCAGGAAAAAAAGAAGAAGAAGAAAACTTCAGACGACCGTCGCGACGACATGGGTCAGGCGGTCCAGCTGCGAGCTGTGGTCTGCTACGAACAAAGTGCCATTCTCCGCCAGCAGCAGGTCCTTGGGGTTGCGGATGGCGCTGGTGCCTGGTCGAGATGTGAAGGAAATTGGCCAATCTCTCGTTGAAACGGTGGAAAATGGTGGGTTTAAACCACTGCCGACTCTTTCCGGCAATGGAAAAGGCGGATTCATATGTTCTTCCATCTATCCACGATGTAAACACGTTCCATCGTCATCATCGTCATGGTTCAGTGAAGGGCAAAGCAGAGTAGGGACGATCTAGCCCTGAAACCTCCACACGCTCACTCGAGTTTACACATTCTGCCCTGGAACGGCGGCCGTGGCTGAAGCGCTCTAAAGGCATCGATGAGCAAAATGGGTATGGCTCAAAAAACCGGTACTAAAATGGAACCCTGGTAAGTGGAAACATGGACCAAAACCTGCGTAACCCTAGCTCTTACATTTTGAGCCACAGCCAAAACTCTGAGGTGGCTGAAGCTCAGCGCTTTCAACCAATCCCGAGCTGACACATGATGCCTTTCGCGGCCTTTCGCGACCATGCTTGCTTGTGGGCCGTCACTTGGCGAAACAACCGCCAATGACGTACAGAGTGCATCTTCCCCATTTTAAGACAGACCTAGCCAAGGTGGGTCTCTACCCACATCTGCCCTAAATGTAATGTTCAAGGAGACCCCGGAAATCGGTATAAGTTTCCCTGAAGAGGCACCAGGCACAGCGACAAGAATCGCAAAGCGGAATCCATGGGGATATCTTTTCTTCCCACAAACGGATTTTGGTGTTGCTTTGCCTTCCCTTTAAAACCAGAAGAAAAAAACAAAAACTCCAAAAACACGAGACACCCGTGCCCACTTCTGCTCGCCTGATTCAAAGGTGAGCCATTGTAACCGATAAACATGACTATAAACCTCCACTGCCTTAAGTTCCCTGGGGAAAATAATAATAATAATAATAATAATAATAATAAACACCAGTCGCGATAGATTCCCATTAAAACCAACACAGCAAGTAAAACATATTCTGCTTACCCAACTGTAGGATAGTGACCATGAAGCAAAGGCTCGTACTTTCAATGGCCCCCCTTATGGCTCTGAATCCATATCCACTGTGGGGAACCTGGCAAAGGCGCGAGTATGGCGCCCTTTGGAGTACCTTCGAACCAACTCCCAGGCCCTCAGCAGATTCCAACTATACCCGATGGAAGCCGATCCAAGGGTTGCGGAAGCCTCTTGAACAGGAGGCTCTCCACTTCCATGATCTCACTTGCCCCTTAGGGACCTGGAAATAAAAGGTTAACCTTTTGGGACCTTTACTAAAAATGGACCAAAATGGAAAACAAAAAGGTCAAAAGGTCAAAAGGTCGGCTTTGGGCAAGTGAGTGATTGTTGGAAAGAGGATCACCGTCGGAACCGCTTGGAAGTACTACGAATCACGATGACCAATGTACCAATCCAATGTCACCCGTTTAGGGTACTCCTCAGCAGATCGGGATAGAACCTGAGAAGCCATTGGAGGATTGATTCTCCTTTTGGGGGGGGGTACTCTAGCAAATTTCAAACGGGTCGATCCCGGATTCAACCTTAATCCATAGAAAGGTTTAGGGTTTTGGGGTGTCCTCCAAAAGTGCATATAAAATCCTATAGAGACAAACGTAACCTTGCGCAAATTCAGGAACTGTCTGGCTCTTCTTTTGCTGGATGCACCTTGCGGGTCATCCCCGACTCTGTCTGTGACACAAACGGTCAGGGGCTGTTGAGGAAGAGTTTTGCGGAAGCCTCTGCGCCCAGCCAAACACCAATCAAAACTCGGGCTCCGTTCAGATGGGAACCTCGTATTAATAAACCCTAGTTGCATAGGGGGGCTCCCTTGTAGTGGGGATTCAGCCCACTTTTGCAGGGGGCAGCCCCTATAAATGATTATAAACGGCCGTGGCTCAAAAAACCGGTACCAAAATGGAACCCTGGTAAATGGAACCAAAGACTAGAACCCGCGTAACCCCCCCTGTTCAATTTTGAGTCACACCCAAATAGGACGGGTGTAACTCCTCCGGGGTCGCCATTGTAAACTGCACCGTGGCACCGCCCCTCGGCCTTGGATCACGCGCACTCGCCGCGGCACCACGGAGCGATCCAGGTGCAAGAGCGACTCCGAGTGCTCGTCAGAGATCACCGCGAAGCCTTCGAGTCGATCGAATTGGTCGAGTCGGTGTGAGGCCAAACCGCAGAACCCTCCCCAGAGGGATTTTTTGGTGCCCCTGCAGTTTTCACTGTGCCTCGACTACAGAAAAGGAAGTGTTAAAAAGGGGCGAAATGAGACCTTTCATGTCTTGCGAGAAACGCACCGCGGATGTAGGACGGTCTAAACCTCAGGGTTGGCCATCTCCACCAGCCGCAAGCAAACGGTACGTGTTTGACAATTGGCACATAGCCCTGGACAAATCGCAAATGGTTTCCCAAGACACAAGAAAGTTGAGGCGTGATCCTCTGGGGAGGAAGCTTGGGCGGACCCCCCATGTCCTCCGGCCAAAGGTAAACCAACAAACAAACCAAACGGATACCAAAATTAAGCCAAAAGAACACTATCATAAGGTAAGCCCAAGGCCCAAGATCAACCAAGAAAACAGATTCTAGGTAAACCAAACGGCAACCCAATTGGCAGCCAAGCAAACAAAAAGGTAAAGCAGAAGCAAACCGAAGGTCAAATCAGGTCCGGTCAATCTTTGGCTGGTAGGTGAGTGTTTTTGTGGAGTACCAAATGCATGGTCATTAGTTTTCTGCTTTGTTATCCTACTGTGTATCTTTGTTATTACTCTGGAAGTGGTTGTTTTCTGAGAGGATTGACCAAACAAAAACTCCGCTTGGCTGTAAAATTGGACTTCCCAGAAAATATGGAGTCCAGAAACTCATGGAGAGAATATCACCAATTGCCCATGGACTTGTTGGGGCCCAAAGAGCTATATCCCCCCTCACAAAACAAACTCTCTCAAAGGGTAGCTAGTAAAAACTAGGGGACAGTCATCCGGGGCTGACTCTGTCGCCAGACGACTTCTGATTGTGGGGCTGCCTGATCCGGCGGGAAAAATCGACAAGGCTCGCCTTGTTCCATATTTGCTTAGAAACTGATGCAGTCATGCCCCTTGTGGGGGGTTGGGAACATATGGAATACAACTTTCTCCTGGTTGGACGGAACCAACTTTGCGGGTTGGACTCGTCTCAAAACCATCCATGAGCTTGTTTGGAGGAAAACAATGGAGTCAGTTGTCTCCGTCTCTGGGAAATCGGACTCCATGTGCTTGGTGCCACCTTCAGTGAATGGACAAGCCTCGGTGTTAGGTTGTTTCCACTCCCTCAGAACCACTATGCAGGGTTCTCGTTGCGAAGTGAACTTTGAGGTTTGTATTTTCTCGCAGGCTGCCCAGGACATGATGAAAGTTCCCGTGGAGGAAACAAATCCCCTGTGCAGGGGAAGCCCTTTTTGTTGGCTATTGAGGGTAACACCCCTTCAAAAAAGTTAAAAAAAGAAAGCTACCGCAACCCACTGGCCATCTGGGAATCGGAAGAACATGTAGGTGCGATAGAACAACATAATTCCCATGTCCCTCTTATATTCATCATTGACAAATCTGAAAAAATGATCGAACCTCATTCTGGCTACAATGATCAAAATAACCCCCAAGTGGTAGACAAAGAGGAACCAACCAACCATTGTCTGGCTTCGATAACCCCCAGAAAACAGTCAAAATCATTCCAGTCTCAGCTTTCCTAACAACAGTCAAAATCATCACTCTGGGTGTGTCTATCTTTTAAGGGACCCGCAAAATGGTGGGTGGTTCCTTTTGGCTTCCGTTCAAAACCACCCCAACAGGGGTACCACCTCCCAGACACGACAGACCCATGCGCCCAAATCAAGCAGCTCGCGTCGCTGGACACCACCAGGCCAACTGGCGTAGTGGTGACCAGGTCCTGTCACTTGGTCAACCTTCAACCCGAAACCCACTTTAAACACGGAAACGCGCGGCTCAAACTCACCAAACCTGGGTCGATTGAGGGGGGTGGGGGAACCATGTGTATATATATATATATATTATTAGTATTATTATTACTATTACTATTACTATTACTATTATTATTATTATTACTATTACTATTATTATTATTACTATTACTCGTATTATTATTTTGTTATTATTATCATTATTACTATTATTATTATTATTATTATTGTTATTATTATTATTATTATTATTATTATTATTATTATTATTATTATTATTATTATTATTATTATTATTATTATTATATATGTGCAAGTTTTACAATATGTCCGAAACCTGAAATAAGGGATCACCAAGTAAAGGATCGTTGTCATGGTGAGCTCGGTTCGTCCCCAAATAAGCTCGCCACAAAGTATGCAGTAAATATATGCATCTCTATATATATATATATGTATATATATATATATGTGTATATATATATATATGTATATATATATGTATTATGTTCTGTGTTCATCATTGTAGCCAAGGGCAAAGCTGTAAGACTCGAGCATTTCTCTTTCAGGTAAAAGGAAAACCCTGCAGAGAAACCGCATTTTGTTTGGGGCGCCCAAAAAAAAACAAGCCACGCACTTAAGGGGGCTCCCTTGGCCATCCGACGGATTGGGTAGAAAATGGCACAATGTCCGCCATGTCCTTTCCTCACCGAGGGAAGGGAGTCACCAGTGCTACCTCCCCAACCGAGCAACATTTGTTACCAATTTCAAAACAGATCCCACCGCAAGGACCTTGGTACCTGACATGTGACATCATTGGTTCAAATCCCAGACCAAGAGCATGTTCTTCTTGGCCCCTCTGGATGATCCTTTCTGATGCCAGCAGAAAAGAAAAGCTTCGCACAATTGGCGAAGCCTCGTTTCGCCGTGCGGACCCGTACAACTGGCCGGCGATTCGCCTTGGGCAGATGCGCCGAGGTCATGTTGGGGTCCGGATACGCCGAGTACTCCGCCTGAACCGAGGAGCCTGGCGCGGCAAGCCGAGTGGTAGAAATGGGTTGGGCTTTATGGGAACCTATGGGTTTGTGATGGTTTCTCTTCTTATTTAAAGGGTTTCTATTTCTATATATATATATATTCATGGCCTATGGTCATGCTTCCCCTAGTAGGAACCCTTACCATGTTTGTCTGAAATCACGAAGAAGGGGGTGTATGTGGGGTACCTGCATGTGCTACTCACCGCACCGAAAACCCAAGTGTGAAATCAGACTCATCCCCTGCTTGCAAGCACCGCACACCCTGCGAGGACCCGGCACAATGTTGGGATGCTCATTGTAAGCAGAACCGTAGATCTGAACTCATCAGTGTTCCACCCTCAGCCTCAAGAGCCTCACTCAAACATGGCCCAGATTCGTGATGTGCAAGCAACCAAACCAAGGTGGCATGCTAATTAAGTTCTTTCTACAGCCATGGAGTATGGGCAACTGCTACCAGTAGTAATATTGGTATGATGAGGCATGCGGGTCTGAGTGAAAATGGAGATTTGGACCCAACAAATGGTGGTTTCCTGTTGGTGTCCAGTTACACCGAGGTGAAATGAGTACCCGGCCATGCAGATGGACAAGCCATGGATAAACCCCCTGGAGTACAAGCCACAAGGCTGCGGCTCCCGAAAGATACCCAAAGGGCGCGCAGCAAAATTCGCTCAGGTCATTTCCGGGAAATGGATCACGGAAATGGTTCAGAAGTCATTCCCTC